TGCTATATATTTTCTGATTAACTTTGTAATATGCTTGCATTATTTGATATGCCGAGACATAAACAATAGCATAATCGAGTGATTCGTTAAAAAGCTTACCAAAACCATTAGATAAATTACTAGCACTACTAAGTACCTGTTGATGTTATATTTCAAATTGTGTTCCGTGGTCTTAAACAATGTTCATGAATTACTAAATTTGCTAGTGTATATAAATACATTACCATTGATAAAATAACTGAAAGTTTTAGTTGTAACTTAAAAGCTGATCATTGTAATAGTTAAGATTGGAACAGTTTATTGTCCTTTTCTACTTGCCGTACCGTTTATAGCAAAAGAATTGTTGGAGTGTTTTAAGTTCTCAGACCCAATATCTAAGTCCAAATGGCATCATAAGATTTCAAACCATCCAACGAAAATGACCCCACCTGAGGAAGAAGATGGTAGAAGCAGTCAATATCTTGCAACTTTCGAGAACCTTTAAGGTTGCATTGATTAACAACCTTAGAATGTTTTCTTCAATGACAGTTAAAGGTACAAGGAAAATCGATTATCTTAATATGTAAAGATTGGTTCATTTCTGTCGAGAAGCTATTAATTGAATGTTACTTAGAAAATGGATCAGAAGTAAATGTTTATGTATATAGAAGGTATAACACATTCATATATGAGATGGACACTCATTAATGGCTTAGTGGTGGTAAGCAAGCTAAGATATAAACTAGAATTCACCACAGGACACTATTGAAACAGGATCATGACCTCTCTTCATCGTTATGCATATTGTTATTTTTGTATTGCGCCTTTTCAAATTAAACAAAATGAAGTTTCGAAATTTGAGTATTGAAAATAGACTTTGTTAATTTTTTTCAACTACAAAGTCATGTTATTTTCGACTGCCCTTTTATGATTGTATTAGAATTAAATTAATAAATATAAGCCTGTCAATTGGGATCCAAACTTCAATTAAATGCCAGATAAAACTAGTTGAAATATTTTGTTTTCAAATCACTAACTTACATGCATTTTTACGTGAGTTATGGCTGAATTTTTCTGAAGCAATTAAAATTCCTTCATAAATTTATTAATTTTAAGATAAACATATTTTATTTGTAAACTCGTGAAGTAAAGAGGCCAAAACTTAAGAAACTAGTATTTTTGTCGATACTTCATTAATGGTGTCATATATATTCTTTTAGAATTTTTACCAAAACCTGTCATTACATTTTAAACAGACGACAGTTGTATCTTTGTAATTAATGTAATTGCCGTTTGTTTGAGATTTGTATTTCATATTAACTTCTAAGAGGTAGATGTTAATCCACGTGTCGATTGGATCGAGAGAGTTTCGATTTTACCGCATTATTTTCCTTCTAATTTTGAAATAACTAGTATAATGCTTTTTTCATATTCAATGTTTTATTCCTGTATATTGTGTCATCATTTTATCATAAGAATTTGCAACTTAACTGCTTCTTAGCTTTTAGAAATATGTATATAGCTTTCCAGTAAAATGTTTCATGTCAGATGTAAATGAATTGTAATATATGTCTTAGGTGGCAATGTTACATTTAATGTTTTTAGACTAGTATTTGTCTGTTTTTGTATTTTGTATGAACATTGATGGGACTGGAAAAAAAGAATGAACATATGTAGATACTTAAATTATGTGACTATATGCTATATGTCATGGTTATACATGGTTATACATGTATGTCACCATAGACGTATATTTATTTGTAAAATGATTGATTGTATACCATGACATTCATGCGTTTTCTTTTGAATAAAGATATTGTAATGTACAACGAAGTTTGTTTTTTTTACCTTAAGGTGAATTGGTCTACAGTTTAATTATGTTGACAGTATTACGTTACAACAAAATATGGATTTTATTTGCACAAATGTTTCTGTCTTTTTTTTTTAAGAAATACCAAATTTGCAATATTTTAAATAGTAATGAAAAATGTGCCCGTTGTAGACCAAGCCACTTTAATTTGGTATATTCATATAAGATCTGAACGCGCAAATTGTTTTCTAATTATAAAGAGACTGATTATCATACAACTGTGTAAAGAAGTTGATAAAACGATATCTTTTACGATGAAATGAAATGCATAACGCGAAACGTGCGGAATAATAATTTAATCATATACGGGTATTTATATCTCAGGTTATCCTTCGCAGTACTTTGATCTCTATCTTTATGGAATTCCTTAGTATTAAGAATTTTATCTAATATCTTTTGACGATTGAAAGTAGCTTAGAAATATGGAAAAGTTAAGTATTTGTTATTTACGGTATCCACTTTTTGCCCGATAGTTGTCAAAGGGAGAGAAATCTTGTATCATATAATCAGTGACGAGGCGCGAAGTAAAGTGCGCATCTGTGATAGCGGTTTAGTCTCGGGCCATATGTCTTGTGAGACCATTATTAAATTAGGTCAGATGAAATAGATACTTCTTCCATTTTTATTATGTTAGAGGCAATTTGCTAATTAATGGAAAATGAATGTTTTACCAAATGGAGACGGCATTATGGCGTTTATTCGCTAATATTGTCGATAGATTTAATAAAGGGGCCCTTTGAGAGAACATCCAGCTTTTCTGGAGAGTGCATATTAGTTTAGTAATGATTGTGAAAAAAAGGGCCGACAAGCGACATCTTAGAGATAAAAACACCGTTCACAAAGGACTTTAATGAACAGTTTCTATTGTCACACAAGTGAGTGTGTATTTAATGAATATTAACAAAATGTCAGAATACTATTATTTGGTTATAGAAGAAATGAATTTAAGAATATGTTTGCCATATAATCATGCCAATTTTATCAAGACCAATATGATGTATTGACATATCATATTTTTCCACAAGCGATCACTGGTCACGGTAGAACATTCTATTATTTGGTGTTTGATTTTACGCCGCACTAACACAGTAGAGGCTGTATTGCGAATTTCCGGCTGTTTTTTATTTTGAAAGACCTCGCTTGTTCATCCATGCATTAATTTTGGCCCAAACGAGCACCTGAGTAAAATCACCGACATTCCGTAAGCTATCTGGATAGATTTCTCACCTCACAGAATCTAAAGTTGCTGGCGAGATTCGAACCCATGGCGGCTAAGAGTTAGTGGTTTGACATCAACGACCTTAGCCACTAGACCACGAATGACGCGCCCGTTATAATCGAGTATTAGTCAATGTTTTAATACAGAGAAAAAATTTATCATGCCGGGAAATTTTATAATATTAAGACATAAACTAAAGGTGCTAGATATCCAATAGTCTTGATTTAAAGAGATTGTCTGAATTATATTAAATACAGTTTCTTTAAATTTAAGAGTCAAATCATGTTCTCCTCAGTTGAATTAAAGTGAGTATAATCACAACTATCTGGAGAAATCAGTGCAGCGTTATTTAACTAGTCTAGCTAGTCAACTGATCTGAATTTCTATTCTATTCATCATAGTAGCGGATAAAAAGAAATAAAAAATTAATTAGTTTCAACTTCATGAATTCGATATTTCAATCATACATTTACGAATTAAACTTTACGAATTTACGAATTCAAGATTTCAAAAGTCACGAATTTGTGACTTCGTGGATTCAACTTTATGAATGAGTGTTGTGAACTGCGAAATATTCAGTTTCATGAATTCAAGATTTAAACATGAATTCAAAATTTCAATTACACGAATACATGATTTCAAATTCCTTTTTGATCAAAATCGTGAATTCATGAAATTAAATGTTCTAATCGGTCTTTCGTATTTAATAATTACCTTTGTACTGGCTTCTTTTTTATTCTTCGCGAATGAAACATCGATTGGATAATGAAATAATTATGGATAAATATAAGGAAACACACAGCTACAAAATATATGCATTGGTGAAATATAGCTTTCACTATATTCATTATATTTTGACATTAAAATTCGAATGAATACATTTATACAATAAAATGTTATAAAGTTATTTAAAAATATTGAGAAAATCAACAAGGGAAATCTCTATTTTTCTGTCAATTAACATTAGATAATCTCGAAAATTAGATATTTATCTAACTGATTAGTTTATATCAGAAAAAATATTTTATTGTGACCAAAAGGAGCAATCAAAGAATCTGTAACTAACCATGTTTTTTCTTTGTTGTTGTTGTTTTTTTGTTGTTTTTTTTTTTGTTTTTTTTGCAAAATAGCATTATTATGTTAATTATAATAATAAAATTACAGGCAATCGAGGGATAAACGTGCATGACTGTGATTGTATGCAACAATCTACGAATTGTAAATGATTGAGTCAAAATTTGGCAACCTTTATGATCTCCCTTAAGTGTGACACATTGCTGCGAGACAGGAAAAGACATTTCCACACATTAAGCGCTAATTTTCTGATCACCAGCTAAATCAAGGTGGAAACAAATCCGTGCTAAGTTATTTGTACACGTATATGGTATACGTTATGTTCTTTTTTTTCTAGCTATAGCTAATTGGACATGTTTAGGAAACAATATCAATGTTTTAAGTTAGTTAATAGCAAATGAAACTTTATAGTTCTATGGTGAAACAATATCATCGTTTGCCAATGAAATTATTTTTACTCGCAAATAACATTTTTCATCACAGCTATTATTTTTCTTTTTTATCTTCAAAACAAATGTTAGAAGTAGGAAATCTATTTTAAAACTTTTATATTGTTTTTTATAAGCGTTATGATTCCTTGTTTTTATATATAGAGGATATTAAATGAGTGATTTATTGAACGAGTCGAATCAAATTATATTCTACGAGCCTCTGGCGAGCATAATATTATTTTATTAAACTCGTTTAATAAATTCAGTAATGAACCTGCATGAATATAATATTCTATTTATCTGAAACTAATAAAGACTATTTAAAGTGAAAAAGAATCATTTTTCATTGACGCTTTAAGGGCGTCTTTACACCTTTACACTGAGTTTGTAGAATGCAGACGTCAGGTCAGACTATATGCATGGCTATGCAATACCATTATTGCGGAGTCACAAAACATGTATGAGTATGTGATAAATAAATTAACGATGCTTTGTTTTTCTTATTAAGGTAACAAAAAAAACAGAGACGATTAAACCATATATTTTTCTATACATGTATGAACATATATAATTATATGTAGAATTTATTTAATATAATGAACATACGTCCTTCTGTAAGCAACAAAAAGAAAAAAAGAATCATATTATTCAAATACCTGAATAATCTCACTTGCTCAGTTTGATGCTTATACATGTACAAGACCAACAATCAGACACTTTTAAAAGATTTATGCATATGTTCTTATATAAAAGCTTGAATGAATCTTATAATACAGCAAAAAATTGAAATTGGGTGGTTAATTAAGATATTTCAAATTCTTAAATATTATTTTGCAATATTTTCAACTTTAAATCGCATAAGACATAATGAAGTAATCCGTATTAATGATATTTCTAAACCTTTCCACAGACAGTTTTTCCATCAACTGAACATTGTATACATGAAGAACAGAATTTGTCTAATAAAATGATTTTGTATTTAAATATCCGTGGATCTTTCCTCCTGGAAACGCTGAAGCTGACTAAGGCACATCCTGTCTGTAGAAATAATCATCGACTTCCGGTGAACAGGATCGGACTGAAAACTTAGAAGCAGACGATTGGCTGCCTGTCTCTCAAGTTCACGTTCTTCTGCTGTTTGTCGTCTGAAAAAGTATAATTATTATTATTATTATTATTATTATTATTATTATTATTATTATATAATACATAAAAAAATAAAAAAATAATTTAGTGTTTTCCCCTTTTTAATCTAGTCATAAAAGAATACATACATGTATTTAGGCACCATTTTTGTGTGTTAAAATAAACTAAGTTCTTAAACTGCAAAAAAAAATAAAGTATAGACTGAATTAGATTAACCAATATATAAGATGTTAATCAAGTAACAATTAGCTACTGTAAAAAGAAAATATCCATTGAACCAGTATTCCAACATATATGGACTTAATTTCAATCAACAATTGACAATAAGATTCAAACTTCTAAAATTCTTACGCTTAGTTCATATGAAATTGCAAAGAATAGGTAGTTTACACAATTTTTTTCTTTATTAAGTGAGATGAAATTTTGAAGTACCGCACGGTGTGGCCGCCATTTTAGGAAGATATTGTATTAGATTTATTAAATATTGCCTTTAGGAGCATAGTGATCTCGATAATTCTATAATATGATCTCATTTCATATGCCACACCTTTAGGGTCTGTGCCTTTAAATACATTTTCGAACGTTTTTATCATCATTTATTCAAATAATGCAGATTTGTTTCTTTTCTAATTTACTTTCAATTTGATAGAAGCTTTCCCAGCAGACTATACCCCAGTCAGACAGTCGTTGTAGATAAAGCGTTTCGTCACAATACGTGCCGTGTTATGCATAAATGCATATTATCTATATATATACAATATTTACGATGCGTTATGTTTTACTTATCCATTTTAACCAAATGGCCGCCTTCATAAATATCAGAAATATGATTTTACAGATATTAATAGCGTATATAATGAAATAGCTATGCATTTTGCTATCTGCTGGGAATAGGGAGTTCCCCGGGGGTCACTTTTCCGGAGTCTTAAGTCTGAAAACGGTGAATTTAAAGTGAAATTATCCCGCCTTCTTACAGACGTTTTTATTTCAGATTAGTCTTTTTCAATCATTTTGACGGAATTTCTATTTATTTACCAATGAGCTATGACGTAATAAAGAGTCTCAGAGGGGTTCTGGAATTATTGAATTAATCAACCGTTTAGTATTTGTAACCGGCTAATTTTCGTCTGCTGCTATAAATATATCAACTGTTTAAGGAAAAGTTAAAATTACTTTGGGAGTTCAGCAATTTATTTCAAGATTGCAATACTTAGAATTTTTTGTGAAGAACTACTATGATAATCTTAGACAAAATTTTGAAAAGGTACGATAACACTGAATTTGTGTGTTAGGGCAAAATTATTTTAATTCGTTCATACTGATTCATTCATTTCGTCAATAAAATGTGAATAATAAAACTTCGATATATTTTATAGAAAAATATAATTTCTGATTTTCTTTATTCAACTTTCAGCCAATTGTCTACTTATTCATTTAACAAACTTTTTTATTTTATAATTATCTAAACCCCGTTGAAAATGTTAGCAAACTCATATTGTGATTTCAACTTTAACACCAGGCAGTAAAGAATGATATCAGCGCACTTCAAACCACTTGCCCCTCACAGCTGTGGGTTCGGATCCCGCCAGTGGCATTGGCTTCTTTCATGTAAGGAAGTTAACCAACTAGCTTACGGAACGTCGGTGGTTCTACCGAGGTGAAAAGTCACCATATGACATTCACAGTGTTTATGCGACGTAAAGTCCAACCAAAAATAAAAAAAAGTTAAGATCAATCTTGACAGATGTCCAGACTAAATTAACTTTGTCGTCTGTACTGGTATGTATGATAAGTCACTAACTCTCAACATAATTGTCAACCTACCGCCATTTTGTGCGTCGGTTCTGAAACCATGTTTTCACTTGCGCATCAGACATTTTCAGGGTCTTGGCCAGCGACGATCTCTCGGATGATGCCAGATATTTTTGTCTTTCGAACCTTTTCTCTAATTCTAAAATTTGTAAACGGGTGAAAGATGTACGTGGCTTCTTACGTTTTGGCGGTGTACGGTTCTGGTACGGGTGACCAATCCTCCGTATTGCTGAAGGTAAAAAATAAACTAGTATATTCAATGACTGTCCCCTAAAACTAGATACATAGATGGTAAAGATTTACATGATTTGAATATGCATTGAGCATGGAATTGCGTGATCTTTAAGCAAGTCTTAGCGACAATATTAATATTATGCGACTTCCGTAGAATACTAATACGAGTTACTGATTAATAAAACTTTATACCAATACTTCATACCAACTGAGTAGAAACACAAACCATTCGAGTGACCACCAATCAATTACTATCACAGCTTCCTATCATTTCAACGACCCAGTCAATTTCATGAACACACGAATTTTGGTAAAACAAATTGATTCAAATTTAGCAATTTCATCTCTATACCTATTAAATATAATAAAAAATAAATGTGATTTATTGTTAAAATTGATGAGCCTTACTGGTATATGTATTTATAAACTTGAATAATTTCAAAATTAAAATAATACAAAGTTTCAGATAACACACTTTTTAATTCGATTTTAACAGGACTTAGTCTTTTTGTACGCTCAAAACAATATTTCTATGTACATGTTCATCAAACTTTATTTATAGGAAGTTTCCCGAAAGCATATTTATATTCTTCTTAAAAAGTATCTGCCTAAAAACATCAAAGTTATCTTTTGAAGTTTAATAGCTCTGCGCATGTCCATAAATCCCAAAGCATTTAAGCTTCAATTGTATCGGAGCCGGGAAACAAATATTGACCGTCTTGTCAACAAGTGTTATATAGAAAAACAATCAGCTGAAATACCCTGACGTACTTTGAAATTATGAATCGTCATAATAATTTAAATAGTTTGCATTTCAAATAAGTTTTCTCGCATGCCTAAAACTTTACGGAGCGTCAGTCTATTCTAATATCTTTAACGGCTGACTGAGTTCCATTGTAAACCACTGAGAGTAATCGTTCATCTTAAACAAATTGAATTACCGAGAAGAGAGAAGAGGCGAGCGTGACAAAGTCAATGAGTATAACATTTTCCATAATTCATGAATAATATCTCTACTTAACTCAGATGAGATGCGTTCTTAAATGAAGCTTTAATCTAATGGGATACCCCTATTTGCATCCGTTAAAGTAACACGAACATGCATTATTCAGGGTTTGTCACGACAAAATGGGCTATGTTTTCTGCATTACATATAATCTTTTATCAAAACCGTTATGAAAGACTTGTTCCGTAATCGACACTGAGCCAGAGAGAAACGTAATACAAATCACGTGACCAAATCACATGACCTTTATTACAAATTGTTTCCCTGAATATTTCCGGTAATGATATTGAATAAGTATAGCAATGTATTCATAATTATTGATATTCTAGAGCTATGATCTAATTGAAATTGATAAAATGTCGAAAAGTTAAAGTGAATTGGCAATGACAAAACTTTTCGTACCTATATCAAATATTGATAAAAACAATAGAATGATATCATTTGGATATTTTTATAAAGCATTTCTTGAAAAAAAATGTTTTTAAGCGATTTAGTATAAACATTAACATGACGAAAATATAATTTATTATTACTAATTGTTTATGGTACAGAAACCGGTTGTCGGTGATGCGTGACCTTTCTGCGTTGAATCGCCGTGAAATCTAGTAATTAAGACATATTTTGTGCTTAACCGGTATGTGGAAAAATGAGTTAATTAAAACGATTTTTGGCATGATTTGCGACTTTTTACCATTTTTATGTTTTTTTGCAATAGACTACAAAGGTATTCAACTGTAAAAAACTAAACATAGTTTACAAGGAACTCATTACTTTTGGTTTTATTAAAATATAAACAGTAAAATCTTTTCCTTAAGCTCAAAAGATAGCAGAATGAATTGGTAATGTTATTTAAGTTATTGTTTTAAAACACCTAAAAGACCTATTTACAAAAACAATGTATATATATAACGTTATTTTTTGTGACATGTATACTCTTAAAGTACATGTATATTATTTATGCCGGAATTGATTTTTTTGTGCGGTGGAATATTTAATAATTAAACTTCTCAGGTTATAATGCTTTAAAATTTAAAAATCCTCAGAACTTTGCAATAAAGCCAACCCTCTTCGTACCGGTTACGACACTCTAAACTATGTTTCAGTGCAGGCCAGAGAATAACTGCGAGGGAAAAACAGACATTCCGAATACCCCGCCGATTATCAAAGGGCAGAGTAGAATGCGAAACAGGAATAGTTTAATAAATAATTGATAATATTAAAAATAAAACTTGTTAGTTTGAAGAAAAGAAACAAGAAAGAAAGAAAGAAAGAAAGAAAGAAAAGAAAGAAAAGAAAGAAAGAAAGAAAATAAAAATAAAAATAAAAATAAAATGAAATTAAAGTCCATGCTTATAAAATCGACAGAATACTGCAATATCAAGATATAAAATGTATGACCAAGAAATCGTTCAAACGTAAAAATAGGTTTTGAGTCTTTGATTGTTCATGCGTTCGAGCGGGTCCATTTATCAGTGGTTTGTTCAAGCGGACGCATTGACCAGTGGTTAAACGAGCATTGGTGATCTACTTATTTGAGGCCACATTGAATCTGACCTTACGCTACAAAGTAAAGTAACCAATGTCTTGTTTTGCTTGGTTTTACGGCGCACCAGCACAATTTTAGTCATCTTGCGCCGAAAATAAAGTAAACGATAATACCATGCAAAAGGGAGATGTGCATATAGATTCAGCACAAACAACCTGTAGACTGTCTAGTTATACTTCAATCTATTTACCAAATAAGAATTATTATTATGAATAATAATAAAACTGTATAGAAAATTAACATCTTTAAATGGTAGCTTTCCGCCCGTATATGACATGAACATTGTTCAAAACTAGTGCCAGCCAATCACCATACTTAACGTTGTTTAATACAGCTGATTCTATTCTGTCAATTTATTTGTATCTAATAAAACTTGAGCTAATAATATGAACGTAGCCCGACGTGGAGATGGGATTGTGTTTAATTAATACAGATTAAACTATAGTTTTAAAAATTAAAATGAAGAAAATTATATACAAAAATGGTATATAAAATTTACAATGCCATTACTTTTTGCATTTGTAATTTAAAAACTAAACGTTTAAACATTTTACATTTAAAGTGATTCCATTTTGATTCAAAAGCAAAGATTGTAACATATTCAAACAAAAGGCACGTGCCGTTCTTTCCTAGCTTATTGTTTCTTTTCATTATTACATGTAGGTGTAATGAATTTTTCTTCAAATGAATAAAAGTTTCTACATGTATATGTGTTCATAAAAAATTAATTAAACAGTAAAAAAGAAGATTTAAATATAATTTGAATTAGTTTTTTTTATAAAAATGTATAGCTATAAAAAATTCATAAAACGACTTCATAGTTCTCCCAAATCAATGATTTAATTATTACAATTACCCAAGTCGCACAGCTTATCATAATTCATGTAGCCCCTGGATTCAAATACGACAGCAGATTTCAAATATAGAAAATGTCATTTTGTAATAGCGAATCACACATTAAATTTGAGGCTTTAGCGCCGTTCTAAAATAAGGGAAATTAGGTAAAGTATGGTCGGGAGTTGAAGTTTCTTTATGATATTTCATTTACCCACATTATTATAATCATTATTATTATTATTATTATTATTATTATTATTATTCATTTGTTTAGATATAGAGCTACTTGTGTGCTTGATTTTAAGCTTTAAGGCTTTATGTTTGCAAGGACATTTGTCAAGATGACATTTTCTGACATAATTTACATATTCATTAATGTTTATATGACACGAATATTTTAATAATAAGTCTCTTTTGTGACAGAAATAACTTCAGACACTTAAACTTGACTGAAATTATACTTGAATATTTATAACACATTACTTACGACCAAATCTGTCTTTTCTCAAATCGTTTAGAATAGCTGGTGACCATGGTAAGTCTAAATTGATTCTCCCGGAAGTAAAAAGATTCTGAGACGTGAAATATGAGTTGTCGTCTGCACGCAGTGCTTGAAACGACGCCGGTAAAGGCACGTGAGAAAGACACGTGTCTCCGATGTCATCATTCTCATCAACGTGATCTATTCCATCTTCATCTGAGTCAACACTTATATCGTCATCAATTTCATTATGATCTATTTGTGTTTGGTCGGTTGGTACTAGTTCTGTGTGTGTATAGATAGAATCAGAGTTAGCAATCTTGTCACGAAGTTTATCTGTCACCTCAGCTTTCACTTTTAGAATCGCTTCAATTCCAAATCTAAGATGTGAACTTTTAGTCAGATTGTTTTTCTTTTCATCCAGTTCATTACTCTCCTTATTGTCTATATGCGTGTCTGATTCTTTTGTTTTGTAATCATCATTCGAGTTAATGTCTTTTTCTCTTTCGCCATCAATCTCCATACAGTTGTTTTGATTTTTAGTGCCTGAATTGCCGTGCACATGTGGTGTATCTTTAATTATACACCCCTTTTCCGCCTCTTCACAGTCACTAATGTCCGCCATTTTTTTAATTATCAAATTTTATTTTAAAGTTATCTCACAAAAATATCTATTCTGAAATTGTCTATGCAATTACATAGCCAGTTTAAACATAAATAAGAATCAGTAATTCCGAAACAATTTTCATATTTGTAGAATTATTTATTGTAAAAGTTTATGTATAACCTCTAAAGATGAAAATGTTTCTCGGAAACAGCAAACTTCAAAGTGCTGATGTTCCGAGCGTTTATAGAATTTGACGAAAGAGACAATGGTTTATGAATCTTATGGCAAATGGGACGTTTAGCTAAAATAAACACAATTTATATTCAAATTCCCGGCAGTGGCAGAACCCGTTTCATTAATACGCCATAACCAAACCTTGACATGATTATGTATAATTTGTGTTGACAATATTAGACATCTGTTAGTTTTACGGGACTTCAGAATCGATAAGATTTGCCGAGTCAATCGTATTATGGAGAGAAACTGTAAATTTGGCATAGACGATGTCGATTAATACACTTTAAATTATTCGGGGGCAAAGAGCGAAATTTTCCCTACTGGATAGCTGGAGGTCTCACATCGGTAATAGAAAATTACAAATTTAATAGTATTAATTTGAGTGAACATTTTTCAATTCAAGGCATCATTTAAAAATGTTCGAGTTTTAAATAACTTATTGTCTTTTTCTTTATCATTATTATTATCAATATTCTATATTATTTTTCTTTTGTAAGGATGTAAGATTTATCTACATAAATAAAACGGGAGGCCATACTATGGATGTTTAACATAAACGGCCATTTATCATCTGTTTCTATCCCAAATATTGCTTGATTTAACTTTTTGTTTAAAAAAAAAGGAATAAAAAGAGAAGTAGAATTTGCAATAGATTCGAATTTGCTTGGTTAAACCGGAAGGTGATATGTAAAAAACGCGCAAATATTCGATAACTGCAATTATTCAATTGCTGAGATAAGATGAGTGATTATTTCGTGTTAATAAACACCGAAAATGGACATTATAGCATTAATCTGTGTCAAAGTTTATCATTCCTCTATTTTAAATATACATTTATCAATTCTGTTACAGGTGTTAAATTAATGTTTTAAAATGAGTTGTGTGATCTTTAAATGTTCTTTTCATATGTTCGTGTTTTTTCTTCGACTGTCAAAACAAAATAATTTAAATAGTTTAAATTGTTTCAGTTTATCTATAATTATTTTCTTGTTAAGTTAGTGAAATGTCGCGAAAGCTTAAAACTTTTCGCTTTAAAGTAAATTGGCTAATAAGCGTTTCAAAAAGTGAAAATAATTTGAAAATCTCTTTTCAATTCTTTTGAAAAAAGTGTTGATAAAGTTCTTAGGGATTTAGTAAGAATATTTATGTGATAAAAATATTTTGTTCTAGAACAATTTTTATCTGCTAGATATGTAATTATATAATATCAAATCTATTACCTCACATTTACCAACAACATCCGTATACAATTATTTCGAGGTTTATTATCATGTTGTCTAAAATACTGGCAGTGTGATTAAGGATTGTTGGCCGCTTGAGTTCAAACCTCATCAAGGACAACGCGTTTTTTATTTCCATGAATTCATTCCTTAGAACTGGGTAGTTCCAGGAACGGATTCGAGAGTGTTTTAATAAGCTTACAAATTCTAAAACAATCTAACTAAAACAAATTTGTGTAAAAGGTGTAACATACCTTGTAATATCACACTATTTTTCAGTTTAACGGTAATCTTCGCAAAAATAATTGCAGCATCAAAAACAATTGGCGAAAATCAATGTTACATCAGTATTACAGTGCCGACAAAATTATTTTCACCTCTGTTTTAATGTCGTCGCGTATAAATGAATTCATGTATTAATTAAACACATTCTTCTTTGAACAAAAAAAAAATCAAATCTATTTGCAAATGTGCAAAACCAAGCTCACCGACAGTGTAAAATGTATATTCAATTTGACTATATAATTTTAAATGTATAAGATGAGACAGTATTGATATGTGAGACCAGCGTTGTGTGTGCCACAAGGCAGATAGAAAACCATTCATCTAATGGCTCATTAAATAAACGGTAATTAGAATATAAAACGATAATATCCTAATCAGACCTCGTTTGTCCAAATTTATTAACTTTATTTACCGACGACACGCTGCAGCCTACGTGGATGTTGTATACTAAAGTTTTGGCACAGTTTTCTGTCAAAATTAAAAAAGTAGTTCCTATATAACCCATGCGTAGACAGACTCAACCACCCGGCGTAGACAGACTTAACTTCTTAACTTAACTATCTTAAACTAAGGGGTATAGAAAAAAATTTATATTTAGTGTAACAATGAAATTGATCATTGTGTCATTGATAATTTTACGTAACATTTTAAGGATGATATTTTTGTTTGCATTTAAACAAAACATAATAAACGAACTGCGATACCATTTTCAATATAACTATCAAACTACGTTACTCATTTTGACGTATTACAGATATTGTTTTTCTACCTATTTTAATATATTTGTTTAAAAAACAGAACATATTTACAAAATCTTTCACATTCAGTAATTCAAACGATTCATTATTTCTGTACTGCAACATATAATCTTTCAGATAAAAAATATCACTTTTTTTCTATATCCCGAACTACAAAAGGTACAGTACAGTTGCTATTATTACTATTATTCATAAATTCTGGAATTCACAGAGCTTTAAACGATCCAGATGTCCGATAGATTACATTGGTTAGCCAATGATATCAATCAAAGTATCTCTTTATCTATAAGGCCATCCGTCAAATAGCCGATCAGTTTACCCGTCTGTACTTCTGCTTCAGACAAAATCAATAATTATACGAAATTTTAGAAAACGGTCAATTCCAATTTCACGTACGTCTATGGCTTTCCGTTTATTGAATAATAACACAAAATAACAAAAAGCTTTTAGAAAAAAGTCACAACTTCATTTTCTTCAATGTATTTTTTTTTTTTTTTTGGTTGGTTTTTTCGTTGTTGTTTTTGTTGTTGTTTTATTTTATTGTTTTTAAATAGACATTTATTTTGTACATTGAAAACAAACAAGCTTTGTATCCGGCGTAGTGTTCATGTATGTAATTTTGTACTTATACAAACACTATAAGTAATTTCGTGTAGATAAACCATTATTTATGCATATATACAAATGCCTTTTTACTAAATTTAATGTTACATATATTCAGCTAATTTAGTTTCAGATTTTGTTTTAAACGTTACCACAACAATTAACCATATCTTTTTTGAAGGGCGTTTCCCAGCACTCCATTCTCCATTCGAGCCAAGTCTAACAAAGCTTGTCCATAACAGAAGTAGGCATCTGCACATTCTTTAGCAGTTTCACCGTAGGCTTTTGAGAGTATGGCACAAGCCTCTTGAAACTGGTTCACTGCAGTTGGTAGTTTTCATTCAGTAATAAAAGTATCAGACAAAAAAGTCATTAATTTCATAACTTAATTTTACCGTGCAGTATCGTGCAGCGTGTATTTCTAAAGCGTATAATTGGTAACTTACCGATACAAAATGGTTTTTATTTTAATTAAAACTTCTCCTCGGAGACAGTGATTTCACATTAAACAACGAACGTGCGATGAAACCAAGTTTACTTATCTTCTGATTGATCTTTTAAGCGTGACGGGTGCATTTTCACTGCATCTCTATTGTTGCAATTAAGCGCATATCGCTTCGCTTAGAAATTATTCCAAGCCCCACTAATATCCTAATAAAATTCTTTGTCTTCTAGATCGCTTACCCTATTGACTTAAGTTATCAAATTAATTCACTTGCAATTTTCTTTCACGATTCCCTCGGCTCTATTTGTATTGTGTTATAGCCTAACATCAATTGCCAATTATTTGGATAGCAGTTTATTAAATTGAGCATCAGTAAATTCTCTGACCGTACTTGTCCACCGGGATCTTTTCCATTTACAATTAATGACTGCTATTGACTGTATGATAAATTGAGTCCCGTTCATTGTTCCTAAAACAAACGATATGATTTAAAGGCACCTTATGCTTAAGAAACAATTAAATCTTTACTTCTTTTGAAAATAAAGTGGGGGTGGGGGGCAAGCATAATTTTATAATGTTTAAATGGTGGTTTTAGAGGAATGTAAGATGCCTGTTACTTGAAAAATTAATAATTTGTCATAAAAGTAGCAAAATGTTAACAAAGTAGTATTTTGACTTCTATAAAAAACCTAATTCTCTATATCTGTACTTATTTCTTAAATGCAAAAGATGCAAAAGATGGTTCCGGTAATTGCCATTAACTTTTGGATACAAATACTATAAAAGTACACCACAATTAAAAAAGCTTTTGAGAAATAAAGATAAAAGTATTTCTGAAGCATAATGGGCCTTTAAGAAAATATCTCGCACACATAAAATAATAATTTTGAAAACAGTTTTTAATGGTTAAATCCTTCATGATCTTTTTTTTAATGCAAAAAAAACGGACGGAAAAAAAGTATAATTGTTTAAACTTACTAACTTACTAAACGCCGAACAAAAAAGGAAAAGATGATTCTCCTATAGGGCAACTGAGTGACACGTTTGGAACTATAACAGGAAACCAAAAGAAAAACGTTTTTCGACATAAAATAATACTATTTGGGGGCTTAATAGGATTTTAATAAACAAAACGAAAGGTTTAAAATCTTAACTGATTTAACATGAATTATGAAGTAAAAAAAATGAATCTAAACCTTAAAGGGATGCCACCGATTGTCTGCACACACTTAGTTAAAACAAATTTCATTTCTCAGAATATAAATGTATATACATATTACAGTTCACATTATATTTAAAAGCATTTCGTACAGGATAAGTTACACTCTTGTCATACAGAAGGGCATATAAACTTTAAAGGGACTCCAATGAGTTTTTATTTAGGTTTTGGACCTCAGTGGAGTTCCTTTAAACTATATAGAGTACCAAGGTGCTCCATTCATAGGTATCGTCGTGAAGAGCATCTTGGGGAGTTCTGTTCGATGCCTTTCGCAGAATAGCGGTCGGAAATTCGACGAACAGCTCGTTGCTTCTTGTCGAATAGTTAATCCTTAGTTATCATAAGAAGGTATAATTTGATTAAATTATAATAATGATACACAGAGACATGATGACGCCGAGATTTGGAATAGTATTAAATCTGTACAAATTATCCTGTATATAAGTCTGTCCGTCCTTCTGTTAATCTGTCCTTTGTCTGTCTGCCTATCTATCTGTCGTTGCCAAAACAATGTGTGACATTTTATGGTTACTTCATTTTTTTGTCTCTCTCTGTGTTCAGTCTTGACTGAATTTAATAGAAATAACAATATATCAGTGCTTATTAGAACCATCTGCTCGATAACTTCTACTGCAATGAGGTAAATAAGTAAAATTACAAATATCTTATCTAAAGTGCTAAGTTAAACTTGCTTAGTTTAACTTCTTACTGAGATCATAACGATGGCAATCTGATCAAGGGAGTGACAGATCTCGAGATTTTCCCCTTTCTTTTCGCTTATTCCACGTAATGCATGCTTTTTGCGGCATAGAACACTCAGATTTCAAGTTTACAATTCGTCGAATAGAGCACTAATTTTGTGCACCATTCAAGAGTATCCCTATAGGGTGACAATGCTCTACAACGTTTTCAATGTTCAACTAAATGAGTAAATCAGGTAAAGCAGCATTCTCAATCAGAAAATAAACAGAAAATATTAAATAAATAAATAAAGATTACTAACGTGCTTGTCGCAGATGTCTTAAGCGTCAAATTTAGCATAGTTTTAACTAAAAAACTTACTAGTAACTATAATTTATGTTTTTGTGTCTCTTTTTTTTTTGTATTCATCTTTCTTTTTCCTCTCTTACCAGATTTCGTGTTTACATTCATTTAATATTTAACCCAAGTTCGAATAAAGTTTTATTTATCCCTTGATGTTGTCAACCAGACAATACCTTTTTGAACTGCACTAAACACAATCATTTTTGGGGGGAGAAATTAAATGGCAAAAATCTTTGTCTCTCCGGACGACAGTTGCACAATTATTGATAAAACTGAAATGAATATTTGGTAAAAATCAATTTATTACGCTCATTAACCGTAAACGAATTCTCTTTACTTTTCGCATCAGTATACGTAATTGACAATTAGTGGGGAATTAAAGCATTATTGCCCAAAGTTTTCATCAGAATAACCAAAAAGTTTACAGAGATGTAGACCAATTTATATACTATTACTGTATAATGTGCTTTATTGGAGATAAAACAGATAGAGAATAAAACAAATTAAGCTAGCATAAACTGAAGTATGTGTACAACATAAATTTATATTTGGATTGAATTTCGTGCAAAAAGCAAAATTTAATACTAGGTAGATTTCACATGAAATTAGTCTTTAAAAAGGCATTTATTATATACACTGTGTATTCCCTGTAACTATATAATAACACAGCTTTTCTATTCAAATTTAAAGCAAATCAAGAGGGTTTTTTTCGGGGGACATACTGAAAGCTTCAAAGACATAATTTAATGTAGGAGGGGGTGGGGGTGAGTAGAGGGGTATGAGCAGAAAAGAGGGAGTCACCTCAGATATTTATTAAGCTGTTTATCTGTATTTTATTATATGTAATAATATATTGTTAACATGCTTTGATGCATACATTAAGGCAATGTTATTTGAAATAAACAACGTATGCCTTTTTCTGTCCTTCCTTCATAAACGTTTCTTATATATTTACATTCTGTAACGATGAGCCGCCCATTTCATGTATATACAGTAAACTCATCTTTGATGATAATATTGCTGATAACTATCTATAACAGATAATTTCGCAGATTTTAAAGGGTTCGAGTTCGAACCCCACCAGTGACTTTGAATTCTTTCATTTGAGGAAGCCATCCAGCTAGCTGGTTCTACTCAGATGCCCCATCATGCCTAAAATAAAGCAAGGATCGGGCACATACACCAGTGAAGTTGGAAAGTCGCCATGTTGGGTTAACAGGGTTGGTGCGACGTAAATCCAAACAAACAAACAAACAAACAAATAAATAAAAAAATAAAAATAAATCCAACAAAAGAAGGAGGTCTACATTATGAATATTATACGCCAGAATTCATCAAAAGTCTGCTTTGAATCTGTACCTATCCTAGGGCAACTTTAACACACCTAAGACTTTCAGCCTTTACATGTCAATTTTGTCATGTGACATTTAAACTTGTCAGCATACAACTGTACAAAGCTTGGTCATTAAAAAGAAAAAAACAAATAAACAAAACTGGTTTGACGGTTAACACGGAATAAAAAAATATAAGATACCTTTAGGAAAAGGGCATAACATTCTGGAAGTTGAGTGAATATTTTACATAAACATAACATTCTAAAAGTTCAGTGAAATTTTTACATAAACATACCATTCTGAAAGTCGAGTGAAATTTTTACATAAATATACCATTCTGAAAGTTGAGTGAAACTTTTACATAAACATAACATTCTGAATGTTGAGTGAAATCTTTACATAAACATAACATTCTGAAAGTTGAGTGAACTTTTACATAAACATTACATTCTGAAAGTTGAGTGAAACTTTTACATAAACATAACATTCTGAAAGTTGAGTGAAACTTTTACATAAACATAACATTATGAAAGTTGAGTGAATTTTTTACATAAACATAACTTTCTGAAAGTTGAGTGAAACTTTTACATAAACATAACATTATGAAAGTTGAGTGAAACTTTTACATAAACATAACATTCTGAAAGTTAAGTGAAACTTTTACATAAACATAACATTCTGAAAGTTGAGTGAACTTTTAACATAAACATAACATTCTGAAAGTTGAGTGAACTTTTAACATAAACATGGGTTGAGAATAGGTACTTCTTGTTAGGAGCCTCGTACAGAAATGAAAAAGCAATGTACATTCATCATGCATGTTACTTGCAATGATTTATTTAAAATGTTACACATTTTATATAATAAGTAAAATCAACTTTAAACAAGAGGGCCATGATGGCCCTGAGGTCGCTCACCTGTATATAGGCCCCCGGAGCGGGGCCAGTTTAAACCCCAGGGCTTTTATTTGAACAAACTTGGAAGACACCCATAAGAAAATGTTTCATGATGCTAAGTTTTTACTACACACATATAATGAAAAACAATGATCTGCTCCCCACACCCCCGGCAAGGCCAATTTTAACCCAAAGGATTTTATTTGAACAAACTTGGCAGACACCCATATGAAGATGTTTCATGCTAAACATCTAAGCTGTAGCTAATTGGGTTTTTTTAAAAAAGATTTTTTAAGTTTTTACTATACACATATAGTTAAAAACAATGACACCCCTGGGGCGGGGCCAATTTTGACCCTAGGGCTTTTATTTGAACAAACCTTGTAGACAATTACTAGAACATGCTTCATGCTTAATATCTTAACTCTAGCTATTTGGGTTTTTTTCAAAGAATATTTTTAAGTTATTGCTATACACATATCAGGAAAATCAATGACCCCCGGGGCAGGGCCAATTTTGACCCCAGGGCTTTTATTTGAACAAACCTTGTAGACACTTACTAGAACATGCTTCATGCTTAATATCTAAACTCTAGCTATTAGGGTTTTTTCAAAGAAGATTTTTTAAGTTTTTGCTATACCCACATAAGGAAAATCAAAGACTCTCGGGGCAGGGCCAATTTTTGACCACAGGGCTTTTATCTGAACAAACTTTGTAGACACACACTAGAAGATGTTTCAAGCTTAATATCTAAACTCTAGCTATTTGGGTTTTTTCGAAGATTTTTAAGTTTTTGCTATACACATATAAGGATAATCAATGACCCCCGGGGCGGGGCCAATTTTGACCCAAGGGCTTTTATTTGAACAAACTTGGTAGATACCCATTAGAACATGTTTCATGCTAAATATCTTAGCTCTAGCTCTTTGAGTTCTTTAAGAGAAGATTTTTTATTTTTTTACTATATGCATATAGGGAAAATCAATGACCCCCTGGGCGGGGTCAATTTTGACCCCAAGGCTTTTATTTGAACAAACTTGGTAGACACTCATTAGAAGATGTTTCATGCTAAATATCTTAGCTCTAGCTCGTTTGGTTCTTTAAAAGAAGATTTTTTCAAGTTTTTACTATATGCATATAGGGAAAATCAATGACCCCCTGGGGCGGGGCCAATTTTGACCCCAGGGCTTTTATTTGAACAAACTTTGTAGACACTCACTAGAAGATGTTTCATGCCAAATATCTAAGCTCTAGCTCTTTGGGTTTTTTTAAAAGAAGATATTTAAAGTTTTTTTCTTTCGGTTGCCATGGCAACCAGAGTTCTGCATGGAATTAAATTCTTTTGAACAACTTTCTTAAGGCTTCACACAAGGAACATCCCTGTTAAGTTTCATTAAGATCTGCCTTATGGTTTCAGAGGAGATGTCGTTTTAAAAGTGTAAACGGACAAAGGACGACGTACGACGGACGACAGACGACGGACGAAAAGTGATCCTAATAGCTCACCCTGAGCATATGCTCAGGTGAGCTAAAAACGCATACATCTATAACGTTATTTAGTGACCATGTGAAAATATCATTGCCATTTACATGTTTTCTTGCATACATTAACGAAGAAAACAAGTAACATGCGATTGCAAGTTTTGTAATATGCGTGACTCAGGGCGCAATGTAAAACAGTTTATATATATATACAAATGACGACCCACTACTACGTGGAAAGCATAGCAAAATAGCAAAATCTTTGATTTATTTAATGCAGATAACGAAATGCAGAATGATTTATTTAGGCATATACATTAATGCAAGAATATTAATAGCGCTAATGCCCCTTATTTCGTACATTAACACATGCAGAAGCCCTCAAACCTAAATTCCTCGCCATGCGGGCTCGGGATTTAATAATTTTATGGGAAAAGATCGGTATAACCACACAACAAGCTTGCTTTTAGTGATCGAGTAAAAATTTGTTACACAATAATTATTTGGGTTTACTATTTTGATAAAATCTGGTGCGTTTGCAGGAGCGGTGTTGTAAGGATTTGCCACTTCTGAAAAAAATAAAATCAGTTACTCTATGAATATAAATACCACTTTTGAGAAAAATGAACTAAGATTTTAAGATAAGTTAAATATCCGCAATTCAAGAAAAAAGGGAAGAAACTCTTGAAAAGAAGAGAACATAAAAGACGGATTGCTCTCCCTTGAGAAACAAAATGTCTATGTCGGACTGTAGTATCATTTAATTAAAACATTGATTTCCTGAGTATAAATATGAAACATCACTTCCAAATTCAGGATGTTGAAAGTGTAGTACAACATAGAAATTGTATTCAAAACAGTAGTATTTACTTTAATTTCAAAAATGCATACTGCATGAAGTATCTTTATTTGTGTATATCTCAGTTTTGTAAGATATCTTTTGTTAAAATCTAATGTCTCCTACACGCAAAGTTTCCTTGTTTATTCCTTTAGACGTACTAAACAAAATGCACAAAATATTTTACCTTTCTTAAGGATCCCCTAGTTGTCATCATTTTATAAACGAATATGATTGGAATACAAATCATAGATACCAGAGCCATACAAAACCCAACTCCCTGAGCCCATCTTGGATATATGTACGTCTTATTGTATGTAAGCGGTTTGAACGATACAATGGAAAAGAGAAAAATTGCCTGAATTGGAAAAAAACAAAGAAATTTATTTAAAAAGAAAGGTAACAGAAGTTACAGAAAAGATTTCAGCAAAAGACAATTAAGACATGTCATTCATTTATGGTCAACACATTATTTTATTTTATATAACACGAAGTTTTACGTCAGATAAATATGAACTTATTAACCGAAATTATGACAATATAAGATAAAAATGCCTTCATTAACTAAAGTTATAACACTATACGATTATAATACAGTTATTTATGGAAGTTATTATAACACTTTAAGATGATAATACAGTTATTAACCTAAGTTATTCCCTAAGTTATTCCCTGCAGGGTATTGGTACGCGTTTAACTTTTGAGGCATGGAGGAGCACGTGACCTGTTTTCGGTACATGGAGGAGCATGTGATCTGTAAACCGTACATGATTGGAAAGCCTAGCTAAATACCGTTTGCCGGTACGTTACGGATTTACCTCTAGGGAATTAGTCCGAATTACACCTAATTAAGAACAAAAATTTATTACGTGATATTTCTAATTTTCTATAATTATTTTACCGTTTAAGGTGGAAAAACTTGAATGATGTGTTTGAAAATTATCAATGTTTCTTTAATATCTATCTCAAATTTTACAAACAATAAATTGTTGAAAATCTACAAAGTTTAAAATATTCGTAGTGGCATCTGCCATATTAAATAGAGATATTTTCTGCGTAAACTTGTGTGTTTACTTTATTTATTTTTTTGCTCGGAATTATTCATTAAATGGTAGGCCTATTTAATCATTTTCTTAAAAAGAAATAATTGTTCTATGTTCGACCTTCTCCGGTCTTCAACGGTCATCAGTTTCCAAAGACCTAGCTTCTTCTATATTGATCGTTTATTCAATTGTCAACTATATTCTTGATACAAACGTTTATTTATCCCCCCCCCCAAAAAAAAAACAAATAATGATGTTGAAAATAGTTAAATGAAATATCTTTATATCATTAAAATGTTCACCGCAGGAATCCATTTTACTTGTAATACTATTAGATTATTATGTAGTAATTTACCGAAGTTAAAACACTATAAGATGATAACGTAGTTATTTACCTAAGTTAACACACTATTAGATAATTATGTAGTAATTTATTGAAGTTAAATCACTATAAGATGATAACGTAGTTATTTACCTAAGTTAAAACACTATTAGATAATTATGTAGTTATTTATTGAAGTTAAATCACTATAAGATGATAACGTAGTTATTTACCTAAGTTAAAACACTATTAGATAATTATGTAGTAATTTATTGAAGTTAAATCACTATAAGATGATAACGTAGTTATTTACCTAAGTTAAAACACTATTAGATAATTATGTAGTAATTTATTGAAGTTAAATCACTATAAGATGATAACGTAGTTATTTACCTAAGTTAAAACACTATTAGATAATTATGTAGTAATCTATTGAAGTTAAATCACTATAAGATGATAACGTAGTTATTTACCTAAGTTAAAACACTATTAGATAATTATGTAGTAATCTATTGAAGTTAAATCACTATAAGATGATAACGTAGTTATTTACCTAAGTTAAAACACTATTAGATAATTATGTTAGTAATCTATTGAAGTTAAATCACTATAAGATGATAACGTAGTTATTTACCTAAGTTAAAACACTATTTAGATAATTATGTAGTAATTTATTGAAGTTAAATCACTATAAGATGATAACGTAGTTATTTACCTAAGTTAAAACACTATTAGATAATTATGTAGTTATTTATTTGAAGTTAAATCACTATAAGATGATAACGTAGTTATTTACCTAAGTTAAAACACTATTAGATAATTATGTAGTAATCTATTGAAGTTAAATCACTATAAGATGATAAACGTAGTTATTTACCTAAGTTAAAACACTATTAGATAATTATGTAGTTATTTATTGAAGTTAAATCACTATAAGATGATAACGTAGTTATTTACCTAAGTTAAAAACACTATTAGATAATTATGTAGTAATCTATTGAAGTTTAAATCACTATAAGATGATAACGTAGTTATTTACCTAAGTGAAAAACACTATTAGATAATTATGTAGTAATCTATTGAAGTTAAATCACTATAAGATGATAACGTAGTTATTTACCTAAGTTAAAACACTATTAGATAATTATGTAGTTATTTATTGAAGTTAAATCACTATAAGATGATAACGTAGTTATTTACCTAAGTTAAAACACTATTAGATAATTATGTAGTAATTTATTGAAGTTAAATCACTATAAGATGATAACGTAGTTATTTACCTAAGTTAAAACACTATTAGATAATTATGTAGTTATTTATTGAAGTTAAATCACTATAAGATGATAACGTAGTTATTTACCTAAGTTAAAACACTATTAGATAATTATGTAGTAATTAATTGAAGTTAAATCACTATAAGATGATAACGTAGTTATTTACCTAAGTTAAAACACTATTAGATAATTATGTAGTAATCTATTGAAGTTAAATCACTATAAAATGATAACGTAGTTATTTACCTAAGTTAAAACACTATTAGATAATTATGTAGTTATTTATTGAAGTTACACTATAAGATGATAACGTAGTTATTTACCTAAGTTAAAACACTATTAGATAATTATGTAGTAATCTATTGAAGTTGAATCACTATAAGATGATAACGTAGTTATTTACCTAAGTTAAAACACTATTAGATAATTATGTAGTAATCTATTGAAGTTAAATCACTATAAGATGATAACGTAGTTATTTACCTAAGTTAAAACACTATTAGATAATTATGTAGTAATTTATTGAAGTTAAATCACTATAAGATGATAACGTAGTTATTTACCTAAGTTAAAACACTATTAGATAATTATGTAGTAATTTATTGAAGTTAAATCACTATAAGATGATAACGTAGTTATTTACCTAAGTTAAAACACTATTAGATAATTATGTAGTAATCTATTGAAGTTAAATCACTATAAGATGATAACGTAGTTATTTACCTAAGTTAAAACACTATTAGATAATTATGTAGTAATTTATTGAAGTTAAATCACTATAAGATGATAACGTAGTTATTTACCTAAGTTAAAAACACTATAAGATAATTATGTAGTAATCTATTGAAGTTAAATCACTATAAGATGATAACGTAGTTATTTACCTAAGTTAAAACACTATTAGATAATTATGTAGTAATTTATTGAAGTTAAATCACTATAAGATGATAACGTAGTTATTTACCTAAGTTAAAACACTATTAGATAATTATGTAGTAATTTATTGAAGTTAAATCACTATAAGATGATAACGTAGATATTTACCTAAGTTAAAACACTATTAGATAATTATGTAGTTATTTATTGAAGTTACACTATAAGATGATAATGAAGTTGTAACACTAAAATATAACAAGATATGTTTGTAAAACATGTATGCCCCCTATCAGCAGCCAATTAGTCATGTGATAAGGTTATTATGCATGACTTCTGACCCAGTGATCAAACAATTAATAAGGGTTATCAAGTATCTACTGGTCATGACCTTAACCTTTGACCCCTTGACCCAAAACTCAATAGGGGTCATATGCTGGTCAAGACCAATCATCATACAAACTTTGAAGGTCCTAGGCCTAAGCCTTTTTAGTTAATTGATGGGAAACCGTTTTAACATACAACCTCAATGTGACCTTGACCTTTGACCCCTTGACCCCAAAATCAATAGGTCATCTGCTGGTCATGACCAATCACCATACCATGTTTGAAGTTCCTAGGCCAAAGGGTTCTTAAGTTATTGATTTGAAAGCATTTTTACCTACAAGGTCAATGTGACCTTGCCCTCTGACCCCTTAACCCCAATATCAATAGGGGTCATCTACTGGTCATGACCAATCACCATACCAAGTTTGAAGTTCCTAGGCCTAAGGGTTCTTTAGTTATTGATCGGAAAACCGTTTTTACCTAAGAGGTCAATGTGACCTTGACCTTTGACCCCTTAACCCCAAAATCAATAGGGGTCATCTGCTGGTCATGACCAATCACCATACCAAGTTTGAAGTTCCTAGGCCTAAGGGTTCTTAAGTTATTGATCGGAAATTGTTTTTACCTACAAGGTCAATGTGACCTTGACCTTTACCCCTTAACCCCAAAATCAATAGGGGTCATCTGCTGGTCATGACCAATCACCATACCAAGTTTGAAGTTCCTAGGCCTAAGGGTTCTTTTGTTATTGATCAGAAACCATTTTTACCCAAGAGGTCAATGTGACCTTGACCTTTGACCCCTTGATCCCAAAATCAATAGGGGTCATCTACTGATCATGACCAATCACCATACCAAGTTTGAAGTTCCTAGGCCTTAAAGTTCTTTTATTATTGATCGGAAACCGTTATTGCTTACAAGGTCAATGTGACCTTGACCTTTGACCCCTTGACCTCAAAATCAATAGGGGTCATCTACTGATCATGAGCAATCACCATACCAAGTTTGAAGTTCCTAGGCCTTAAAGTTCTTTAGTTATTGATCAGAACATGTTTTTGCTTACAAAGTCAATGTGACCTTGACCTTTGACCCCTTTACCCCAAAAATCAATAGGGATCATCTACTGATCATGACCAATCACCATACCAAGTTTGAAGTTCCTAAGCCTTAAGATTCTTTAGTTATTGATCGGAAACCGTTTTTGCTTACAAGGTCAATGTGACCTTGACCTTTGACCTCTTGACCCCATAATCAATAGGGATCATTTACTGTTCATGACCAATCACCATACCCAGTTTGAAGTTCCTAGGCCTTAACGTTCTTTAGTTATTGATCGGAAACCGTTTTTGCTTACAAGGTCAATGTGACCTTGACCTTTGACCCCTTGACCCCAAAATCAATAGGGGTCATCTGCTGGTCATGACCAATCACCATACCAAGTTTGAAGTTCCTAGGCCTAAGGGTTCTTTTGTTATTGAACAGAAACCATTTTTACCCAAGAGGTCAATGTGACCTTGACCTTTGACCCCTTGACCCCAAAATCAATAGGGGTCATCTGCTGGTCATGACCAATCACCATACCAAGTTTGAAGTTCCTAGGCCTAAGGGTTCTTTTGTTATTGATCAGAAACCATTTTTACCCAAGAGGTCAATGTGACCTTGACCTTTGACCCCTTGACCCCAAAATCAATAGGGGTCATCTACTGATCATGACCAATCACCATACCAAGTTTGAAGTTCCTAGGCCTTAAAGTTCTTTAATTATTGATCGGAAACCGTTATTGCTTACAAGGTCAATGTGACCTTGACCTTTGACCCCTTGACCCCAAAATCAATAGGGGTCATCTACTGGTCATGACCAATCACCATACCAAGTTTGAAGTTTCTAGGCCTAAGGGTTTTTAGTTATCACTCGGAAACCATTTGGTCTACGGACCGACGGACCGACGGACCGACGGACCGACAAGTGCAAAGCAATATACCCCCTTTTCTTCGAAATGGGGGCATAATAATGCAGTTATTTTACCGAAGTTAAAACAGGTATTATATATTTCCAACATATAAAAAACCACAGTGGAAATCTTCGGCCAATCATTAACTCGGCAGCTTCCTGGAATCGTTCTTGTCCTAAAATATAAATATAAAATATATAATTACAGCTATGAATAACATTCACTAAAAGGAAGAACATTTTTGTAGCAGTTAATCAATAAAATTCAATGTAAAAATCGTGTATATTTTATCTGAACATATCAAATCTTTGTAATATATTAATAGAAAGGATACAATAAGAAAAGCAAAACGATTCAAGATTCAATTAAAAATTTATATGTTATGTGCGAATAATGATTTTGTAGTATTTATCACATATTTCTACTGTGTCACTAACGCACTAACGCAGTATAGGCTACTGTTGCAAACATTGACCACTTTTGAAATTTACTTGGATTTAAAGTGCCGTCTGCAATGTGTAAGTTACTTTCTATATTCACTTGACAGCATTTTTCTTTTATATAGTATTACATTTTCAAAATATCCTTGATTTTTCTCATGAATCTGGAGGCATGCTTTTTAAGATTTTTTGTTGAATTTTATTAATAAGTGTTTAAATCATTTTAACAGCTTAACATCTTAAATGTGCATTGTATTCGAAGTACAAAAATATATAATATTATTATATGATTATAATGATTATATTAAGGAAAATGAGTAAATAAGTAAATATAACATTACCAAAACACCAAGCGACGACTACAGCTTCAAAGAAACATATCCAGAGTAAGACCAATCCACTAGCACAGTAGTAATCAAACAATTGAAACACATACATACCGCCCTGTGTATAAAATATATATTAAATATGATATTATGTATTAAATTTACCTTAAAACATTACTGAGGAAAAACATAATTAAATGAAATCCAATACTTTATTAGAAAAAAATGTGGGGCGTCCGGGGCCTAGTTGTTAAAGTCCTTAACTCCAAACCACTTGCCTCTCTCCGCAGGGGGTTCTAATCCCGACATGGATTTTGGATTCTTTCATATGGAGAAGCTATCAAGCTAACAGACCATTGGTTGTTCTACTCAGGTACCCGTTCGAGCCAGAAACCTTCCTCCATCAGTAAAGCTGGAAAGTCGCCATATGATCTGTATACTGTGATATGTTAATATACAGTGCCGAAAAGTATGAATTTCAAAGAATATTTTGTGGCCGAGAATTAAAAAAAATATTATGTTTAATGCTACATGAACTTAAATCAACAGTCAGAGGTTTTGACTGGCTTTCTATCATTGGTAACGTGAATGACTAGTAATCTATAGTTGTTGATTTAAAAAATATTAACCCTTCGACAGCTATAAATACAAAAGCATAATAGAATTGTAAAAAGTGCAGACTCGGTTTGGCTCTTGACCGAGTCTGTTGCATGAGAGATGACCGAGTCTGTTGTATGAGAGAAAATGAAAGGTGAAACATATCTCAAGTCCTCTAATATCGGATTACCGATAAATGAATTACACTTAATGAATTACAGTAAGCTCCCAAAGGACCAGAAACATATAACAACACGGTGATAAAGTACGAGACAACTTAGTTACAGATGCCATAAAGCACGTGACACTTGCCGTTGTGAGTTAAATAATCGGAAATACAAAATCCATCAATATTAATGAAAACAAAGGACAAAAAGGAAACATTGCAGACTTGATTTGATTGAGAATATTGTGTAAATTATAAATTTAAATAAGTTTTATTAAAGTAATCCGAAATGAAAATATTCGGTGCATTTTGTTTTCACGTTGAATATTACAATATAACTCACTCCACGTCTTCGATCACAAAAATAAATATTTAGGAAATCTACAAAATATTCGAGAAAAAAAATCACCTTTTTAAAGATAACTAATATAAGTCATCATAAAGCTTAAAGGCACATTATGCCTACGAAATCCATATTTTGTATTCTTGAGAAATGTGTTGAATAATGTTTTATGGATTTAACTAGAGAAACTAGCCCTAAACATGGAGTAATGTGTTGTAAAGATAGCAAAATATAAACAAAGAAGTATTTTGACTTCCATGCAAAATACTAATTCACAATAATTATACCACTTGCCAAACAGACATAAGATTAGTAGCAAAGAATAGCTGACCTTGATGACAAATCAGTATTTTTTTGAAACTATAAAAAATACAAAATATAAATAAAAAGAGTTTGAGAAATAAAAATGATAGCATTTATGAGGCATAATGGACCTTTAAATGTACAAAACATACACCTTTTGCACTTTAATTTATTAAATAGAACAACTGTTCAGTTAATAAATGTATACAGTGTTTTGAAGAAGTAAATATTTGTTATTACCTCTGTTATCATAGATAAGCCAACCAGGAAGGAGAAAGTACAATACACAGCCGTAAGGATCATCCTGTTCCGCTTCTTGTAAAGATATTTTGGGTAAGCGTCAATTATTGGAGCCAACAAAGCTTCAACTGCAACAAACTATAAATAAAATTAAAACTTTGTCAATTTCTTCAAATGGAATAAAGTTTGAATGATCTTCGCCTGCTCAGACGAAATAAATGATTTCTTCTCGTCAAAAGCTATTAAGCATAATAAACACACAAGACATATCTAGAATTGGTCAAAGGCATTGCTTTTATTAAAATATCATATCGAAATGTACACAAAATAAATCTAAACAAAAATCATGTAGTGAACTTTGATTCTTAGCCATAACCCTTGAATACCTGTTCAATAAAACAGAAAATGATAATTGCCTTTTGCTAAAGCCTAGTTCACACTATCCCGATGTATGCCCCGGTGTGTCCCGGTTGCATAAAAAATTTAACATCGGAGCCGGGATCGCCCGTTCAACACGTTTTTTTCCGATTCAATACGGTGCTACAGTTGTTGGTTCGCTTATTGATGTACGAAAATATCGTCCAAGACAATCTGTACACATTTACTATCACAACATATTTACCAAGAATAAATGCATTTTATAACTTTTGTTCAGTGTGATTATGTTACTATCTTACCTGACTATCAAATCCTACCATCAAAATCATTAAAAAGAACAAAATCGCCCATAGAGGTGACAACGGCATCTCAGTAATTGCCTTTGGATAAGCAATAAATACTAACCCTGGTCCTGAAACATCGATACAAAATATTACAAGAAATTCAAATAATCCAATTAATGGATACAAAACTCTGAAGAAATATAGAGACGTCTCGCATTTCTTGTGATTTCATTTTTTATTAAGGTATTGAAGAAATTAAGGATTGGCGACATTCATTTTTCTTCAATTTATTTTATTCAATTCAACTCCTTTCAAAATGATCCTGTCCTCCCTTTTCTTTGGTCACTGTGGTATTTGGAATGCCTCACAGTACTTACTTTTCCACCCCAGTATAACATAATGAATATTGAGATTATACTTCATAGGGTGAGGGTAGGTCTATTTTCCGTTGTAAATATGAAAATAAAAGGACTCAATCACTTCATAAACTTCGAATGTATTTGCTGGATGTCAATAATTATCCTTTTATCTGGTGATGTTCATAAAAATCCAGGGCCCGACAATAACATAACTATCAACTCTACTGCATCAGATGTCCTTATTGATTTCAAAAGCTCAATCTCTTTTGTTCACTACAATGTTCAAAGTTTTTTCCACAAAAAAAGATATTCTCCAGGGTGAATTGTTTCATTTTGTCTTGTCCTTAACCGAAACATGGTTATCAGAAAATATAGAAACGGTATCACTACTTTTTGACGATTTTCGTTCTCCTTTTAGAAGCGATCGTCGTGCATGAATTCATTTGTACGAAGATAAAAAGAAAAATCCAATTTAAACCACGGAGTTGTTTACGAAGAAAACTTAACAAAGCAGAAGATGACCTTAATGTTATTCACGAATTCAAAAAACACTTCGTAGTCATATTTATCTAAAGATAAGATCTCTTAAATTCAGATAAATTACTAAAACCAGTTTCACGTTCGACTTTATATATATATATCTATCGCAAAAATAGATTTTGGAATTTACCTGACTTGACAACTTCTTCGACGGAAACGTTTTGTTCCTTTGCCATGAATCCTAAGACAGAAAACACAGCAAATCCGCCGTAGAAACTTGTGCTGCTATTTATAATGGCTATGATGAAACTATCCCTAAAAAGTTGTTTTATTACGTATTATTATAATGTAAACGTTCTCTGGTGAAAATGCGATCATCTTTATTTGAAGAAATTCACCCAAAACAATTTCCTTCAATTTTCAAGACTTGAAATCTTGACATGAAGGGACTTGAAATATATTGCTTTATTTATTTCTGGACTAATAACTTTGGTGTAAGATTTCAGATTATTTCATCTCTCTCTGTTTTTTTATTAATTTTCGCAAAATGACCAAAGCAATCGGTCTTAAATCGTGCAATTTTAACTTTCATTATATTTCTTTATTATCTTTTCCATTTCAGGTGCATCATTTGATCTATGCAAGAATTTCATTATTTTTTTTTTTTTTCCGAATGTCTGACCTCAGTTAGGCATTTGTTGAAAGTGAAAATACAAAAGGAAAATAACACTACCGTATTTACATGTACATGAATTTTGTTTTAAATCATATTGATAAGTCATTTAGAACATTAAATACCTGTAGAAGTTATTCTCGTATTTGTTGTAGCTTCCAAGGGTAATAATAACACCTGTTGCAAGAACATAGGAGAAGAAAATCTGAGTTCCTCCATCGACCCACACCTGATGTAGTTTTTAAAACATTAGTACACATGTACATATATTCTAAAGTATATTATCTTTCCAAATGGAAGCCCAGAATGAGTGTGTATTCTTTCTTAATGAGGGTCCGTCCGCCCTTTCAGGCACTGAGAGTACGGACCACTAGAAAGCAAGATGTAAATATCTTTTTCCAAGATAAGGAAGGAAATAAAAATGAAATTTTGACACTCAACGTATCTGGAAAATTAATTTTCTTTTTTCGTGGATCGTAAAACCTATGAAATATGTAACCACTCGAGACTTTCCCAGCGTATTTGTCAAGTACAATATATAATGGAATGTCTAACAAAAACGTGTTATATATCGTAGCCTTACAAATGAACATCTAAAGAGCTACTTGATATCTTTTTCTGTACATCGATTCTTTGAAATCTTTATTCTTGAAATATTTTGATATTTCTCACTGCTTTACAGACACCTATATACTCAATCAATCACAAGAAAAGCACATGATATTAACGAATTGTTGAAGCAATAAACGGGTTTATAGATTTGTCGGGATTCTGCCTGGTTCCTGCAGGTATATTTTATTAATTATTACAAACTTTAAGAAGAATATGTTTCATACACTGACTAATGTCTCGGTTGACGAACATTCAGTTCTATCACACTCAGCGAAGAGTGATATTTATTTCATTATAGAGAACAGTTATTAATACACTAAGGAAGGCACAATTATGGTTGAGGTCGTGTTCTCGGAGCCTAAGAGGGCGGATGGACACTTATTTGACTTTCAAAACACACCGATACGGAATACAATAAAACACAGTACCCAATTTACGTGTGATGGACGTTCGGTAATGTCATCGGATCGAAACGCGATCATGTGACATCATGTATGTTTACTCTCTGAGCTTATGTTAAGTTTTAAATTAAGTTAAGTTTTAAATTAATCAAAATTGACTGAAGTAAAGCACATGTTCGTGAGTTATATAAGATATTATATAAAATAGATAAATAGAGGTTTTACCTGTGGGTCTGTCAGTCTTGAAAAATCTGGCTTTAGGTAGAAATAAATACCATCACTTGCTCCGTCTAATGTAATACCTCGGATAAGTAGAATTGTAATAATCACATAGGGAAATAAAGCAGTGAAATACACAATCTGTATGACAAAACAAAGAATATATCAGCCGCGTCACGACAAAACCAACATAGTGCGTTTGCGACCAGTATGGATCCAGACCAGCCTGCGAATCCGCGCAGTCTGATCAGGATTCATGCTGTTCGCTATCAGTTTCTCTACTTGTAATAGAGTTAGTAAGCGAACAGCATGGATCCTGATCAGACTGCGCGGATGCGCAGGCTGGTTTTGATCAATGCTGGTCGCAAACTCACTTTGTTGGTTTTGTCGTGACGCAGCTTAATTATAAGGCATGCGCAGAAACTTGAATATTTAAAAGAAGATAATCAGATATGAATATGTAACAGATGGCATTGACATTTCACGTGGTCTTGATGTAATAGATGTAGATAACTGAAAGAATACATTGAAAGATATTTCTAAAGACCTCGACAGATGATAGGGATTAGAAGTGCGACACCAATTCAAAAGATGCAGTTGTAAACAAAACTTTATGTATGAAGGCCACATTGTTAACAAATTTATAAAACTAATCAAAGATTTACAGGATAGGACAAGCTCTATTTTGTAAATCTTATTGTAAAGAGCCCCCACTTTGACAAGTATGTAACTGATAATGTGTGTAATAAAACAATTAGGGTTCGCATGCAAACAGCATACATAGAAGTAAGTGAGGTAATGAAGATAGTAAAATAACCTTTATTAAATCAAAGGGCTGCATGCTCTGTGGTATTTTCTGATCTTTCCTGTATATGTTTATTTTTATAAACTATAATTCATCTTACGCAGCGACTGCGTTTAGATTTTTTTCTATTACAGTTTGAGATTGATACATATGGAATTTTGCATGCCTAGAGTTGCATCAAAAAATCATTTTTCATTTTTTTATGACAGCATCACTTTATCGTTGCATATCGTGGCTACTTCCTTAAAAAGACACTTAAAAAATGTTGCCTCGACTAGGATTTGAACCTTAGGCCTCTCACACCCTAAACGAGCGCGCTACCTCTGCACTACGGTGAAGTAATACGTATGTAGCTTGAATAAAAACAAAGACATTGTAATTCTAAAATTGAGAATTTCCATTTCGTGTTTGTAATCTTTATAAATTTCGAGGTATTTTTTCACGATAAACCTGTTGTTAAACACTGATGAAAATAATTTAGCGAAAATCTTCTCGCCAAAACAGTCCGACATGTTTATATTCCACATTTATTTGTGTACTACGCTCTGGGGTATTCGGTAATAGACATAGCTAAAAATAGCATTTTCATTGATTAAGCTTTACGGAAATAGTCGAACATTATTCATTGGGTAAAAAAGATTTTCATCCGCGAAATTTGTGATTGTAACCTCATATTTCTATTGACTAATTTAAACTTTAAATGCACTGTAATTCGTTAAATGTCTACATTAAAAATTATTCTTTCTTTTAAATTGCTGGTTTTTAAGCAGTTTTGAGTGAGAACTACTTTGCGTTGTTAGGTCTGTGAGGAAATTTTGTGTAAGACCGTGGATGTTAGCTATGTATTTACTGATCTTACGATCAGAAAATACAAAAATTAAAAGATGTCTTACTTAGATTTTTACAAGAAATAATTTCCTTATTTTCTACCATAGTTTCATTAAAAATCATTTATCAGAAAGAAAATTATCATTTTTCATTCAATATTTTTATTGTATAACTTAAATCATATTGAAAAGATATATATCATGGGAAAACGTCAAACAAATTACACGTAATTACAAGATCAAAAGGTTTCTAACAGGCCATTCAATCAGATACGTATGTGAACTTTAATACCAGTTAGATATTTGTGATAAACCAACAAAAAATTCATTTTGATTGAAAGCTTATAATTGCAAGGACAACTTCAAATGATCTGTGCTCAAAGCACAACCTCCTTCTGTAAGGATGAGCGAATAGAATAGGGTAAAGATTTACTAATACAATGCGTGAAGATTTATTCGTTACAAATTGTATAATGACTTTCGTTCGAGTATTTTATGAGATAAGAGATGTTTGCCCTTATTACCCAAAGAATAAAAATCGTAGAGCTCTGCTGTGTTACATATGTCCAATCGTGGTTCAGTACAGTACCGAAGGATCTTAAAAATTCAATTCTTTTTGCAGTGTATGAATTGTAAGCATACGACAGAAATTAAATATATAGATTTAAGGTTAATTTTCACCAAAAAAAATAGTAAGAAAGAAAAGATATTTCGTTTGTTTAAATTTTGTTTTAACCTTTTTTCCGTTGTTTTTTTTATTTCATTTTTCTAGAATTTATTTTTATTAAATCACAAGTAAATAGGGATAGGTAATGGGGTAATGGAAATATGGCCTTAAGTTTACACACACGGAGAATGGACGTACGTTCTAATCTTTTTTTCCTAAACGTATTCTGTGCTATGAGGTACAGCCTGTATAAGCTTTTTCCTGGCTGGCAATTCTCGTAACATTTATCAATTCAAGTCCCTGAGAAAATACTAGCAATCGTTTTCATTAAAATGAATTTCAAAATCTTTGCGATGTAATTCAAACGATGGTTAGCTTACTACTAGCTCGTCATACATTTTTGTTCTGGTATATTGAATTCGGCTGTTCTGTGGGAATATCATGGTCCAAAATTCAGCCTCGTCGCTATAATATAATTATCACATACAACATGTGCTACAGCTGTATAAGGTTTAGCTTAAAATGGCTGTTTATATGCGAGAGCAAAAATCAACAGAGAAGCGTTTTTTTGTTGTTGTTTTTTTGAACGCACAACCCCCACACTCAGACACGCACGCACACACACGCATGCACACACACGCACGCACGCGCGCGCGCACACACACACACACACACACACACACACACACACACACACACACACACACACACACATAAAATGTCCTGTAACACAAGGCAACTATAAGTTGTTTTACCTTTCCACTAACTCTTATTCCCCTGCATACACAGCAATACACGAGAATCCATACGACAAGAAGGCATACAGCTAGCTCCCAAACCAACTTTCCTGGTTCGTCAACACCGCCAGAGATATGTAAAATCTTCTTCCTGGATCATTAAACTATATTTAGATGACTTTCAAACAGTAATTATTACCTTATTACCTCACCTGAACTCCATTTTGAGGGTCATTCTAAAAATATTATAAGACAAAACCTCTTCTAAGTCTATCATCTTCATGAAAAGTGACCACAATCGTTTACATATTGGTGCTATAATAATAAAAGTTTCCTTTATATGTATAATAGCATTTGACATCTTATTAAATCAGCTACTAGTATTTATATTGATTATTTTTCATTATACGTTTATTAAATTATTGAAATATTGACCCCCAAATATACCTTGACAGGGGCTACTCAAAAAAGTACAAACCTGTAAGTAAACGAACGAATGTATGTTATTGTTAATTAAAATGAAGTTAATAAATTTTCGCTTCTAAGAGATTATACTTTATCCCAAGAAAGGTCTTTGTTTTTGAAAGATCATTGGTGAGAAAGATAACATGACTACCATATTGATTACGTACGACCTTATTTTTGTTTCAATAATTATTATTTGTGCAATAACGCATATTTCAATGTTTTGAATTTTGGATTTTCCTAAACCATTTGCTTGAATGACTTATGTCGCGTTACCCTATAAAAGTACCCGAGTCTCATTTTATCTGCATTACTAAATATAACGGTGTTAAAAGCTCAGTTCATACTCCCAGAATTCTTCGACAGCGTCCACGACTCGGTGCACCTTTGATATGTTAGCAGTAACTATAGAATCGTTCAGAGTAACATTCAATCTTGAAATACATCTGAAATAAGAGAAGAAAATACAATCTATAGCATCAATTAAAACTATTTATATTTTCTGTGGAAAGTTACGATAGTTTGGCAGAGTATATACATATTTTATATATTCATCATATGACGTAATAATCTGGAAATGAACACGACCTTTTCGTGTAAACAATTGACAAATCAGACTAGACTTAGCTAAAAATAGATAAATACAGAATCCCTAAAGAAAGCCCAACACGGCAAAATTGAAAATGTTGCAGGCTCGGTTTGATTGAGCCTGTTCATGGACGGTACTGGAAAGTGCAAGTTACCGTCCACGCCCCCTAGCACCGGCTTAAGCAGAATTCAACATTTAAACGTGAAATAGTTAAATTTTGAATTTAGAAACATCCGCAGATGTGTTCATACGGCGGTTATCATGGAACCTTCAATGTGACACTTCCGTGCCATTCCATGAAAAGCGGCGTATGGTCCCCAAGTAATAAAAAGCGTGTGCCCTAAACGAGAAAACAATGGACGGAACTAAATAAAATGGAATTTTGAAAGGGGATCAGAGGTTATGAAGTCTGCGTATCACAGATAAGACGTCAAAAGACAAATTTAAAAAGCAGGCAACATATCCTAAGGGTGATTCAACATTATTCAAGTAGGAATATTGGAACCACCCAACTAGAAAATGCCAAAAAGTTGTAACTAAAAATACCACAAGCACAACAATAATGTCGTGCTGAACGATCTTCAAGGATCGAAAATATAACATCATTGATTAAATGTACGGGGAGACTTTTTACAGCCGCCACACGGCACAAATAACACGGATGTGATCGTAAAATAGATAAATACAGAATCCCTAAAGAAAGCCCAACACGGCAAAATTGAAAATGTTGCAGGCTCGGTTTGATTGAGCCTGTTCATGGACGGTACTGGAAAGTGCAAGTTACCGTCCACGCCCCCTAGCACCGGCTTAAGCAGAATTCAACATTTAAACGTGAAATAGTTAAATTTTGAATTTAGAAACATCCGCAGATGTGTTCATACGGCGGTTATCATGGAACCTTCAATGTGACACTTCCGTGCCATTCCATGAAAAGCGGCGTATGGTCCCCAAGTAATAAAAAGCGTGTGCCCTAAACGAGAAAACAATGGACGGAACTAAATAAAATGGAATTTTGAAAGGGGATCAGAGGTTATGAAGTCTGCGTATCACAGATAAGACGTCAAAAGACAAATTTAAAAAGCAGGCAACATATCCTAAGGGTGATTCAACATTATTCAAGTAGGAATATTGGAACCACCCAACTAGAAAATGCCAAAAAGTTGTAACTAAAAATACCACAAGCACAACAATAATGTCGTGCTGAACGATCTTCAAGGATCGAAAATATAACATCATTGATTAAATGTACGGGGAGACTTTTTACAGCCGCCACACGGCACAAATAACACGGATGTGATCGTAAAATAGATAAATACAGAATCCCTAAAGAAAGCCCAACACGGCAAAATTGAAAATGTTGCAGGCTCGGTTTGATTGAGCCTGTTCATTGACGGTACTGGAAAGTGCAAGTTACCGTCCACGCCCCCTAGCACCGGCTTAAGCAGAATTCAACATTTAAACGTGAAATAGTTAAATTTTGAATTTAGAAACATCCGCAGATGTGTTCATACGGCGGTTATCATGGAACCTTCAATGTGACACTTCCGTGCCATTCCATGAAAAGCGGCGTATGGTCCCCAAGTAATAAAAAGCGTGTGCCCTAAACGAGAAAACAATGGACGGAACTAAATAAAATGGAATTTTGAAAGGGGATCAGAGGTTATGAAGTCTGCGTATCACAGATAAGACGTCAAAAGACAAATTTAAAAAGCAGGCAACATATCCTAAGGGTGATTCAACATTATTCAAGTAGGAATATTGGAACCACCCAACTAGAAAATGCCAAAAAGTTGTAACTAAAAATACCACAAGCACAACAATAATGTCGTGCTGAACGATCTTCAAGGATCGAAAATATAACATCATTGATTAAATGTACGGGGAGACTTTTTACAGCCGCCACACGGCACAAATAACACGGATGTGATCGTAAAATTGATAAATACAGAATCCCTAAAGAAAGCCCAACACGGCAAAATTGAAAATGTTGCAGGCTCGGTTTGATTGAGCCTGTTCATGGACGGTACTGGAAAGTGCAAGTTACCGTCCAGGCCCCCTAGCACCGGCTTAAGCAGAATTCAACATTTAAACGTGAAATAGTTAAATTTTGAATTTAGAAACATCCGCAGATGTGTTCATACGGCGGTTATCATGGAACCTTCAATGTGACACTTCCGTGCCATTCCATGAAAAGCGGCGTATGGTCCCCAAGTAATAAAAAGCGTGTGCCCTAAACGAGAAAACAATGGACGGAACTAAATAAAATGGAATTTTGAAAGGGGATCAGAGGTTATGAAGTCTGCGTATCACAGATAAGACGTCAAAAGACAAATTTAAAAAGCAGGCAACATATCCTAAGGGTGATTCAACATTATTCAAGTAGAAATATTGGAACCACCCAACTAGAAAATGCAAAAAAGTTGGAACTAAAAATACCACAAGCACAACAATAATGTCGTGCTGAACGATCTTCAAGGATCGAAAATATAACATCATTGATTAAATGTACGGGGAGACTTTTTACAGCCGCCACACGGCACAAATAACACGGATGTGATCGTAAAATAGATAAATACAGAATCCCTAAAGAAAGCCCAACACGGCAAAATTGAAAATGTTGCAGGCTCGGTTTGATTGAGCCTGTTCATGGACGGTACTGGAAAGTGCAAGTTACCGTCCACGCCCCTAGCACCGGCTTAAGCAGAATTCAACATTTAAACGTGAAATAGTTAAATTTTGAATTTAGAAACATCCGCAGATGTGTTCATACGGCGGTTATCATGGAACCCTTCAATGTGACACTTCCGTGCCATTCCATGAAAAGCGGCGTATGGTCCCCAAGTAATAAAAAGCGTGTGCCCTAAACGAGAAAACAATGGACGGAACTAAATAAAATGGAATTTTGAAAGGGGATCAGAGGTTATGAAGTCTGCGTATCACAGATAAGACGTCAAAAGACAAATTTAAAAAGCAGGCAACATATCCTAAGGGTGATTCAACATTATTCAAGTAGGAATATTGGAACCACCCAACTAGAAAATGCCAAAAAGTTGAAACTAAAAATACCACAAGCACAACAATTATGTCGTGCTGAACGATCTTCAAGGATCGAAAATATAACATCATTGATTAAATGTACGGGGAGACTTTTTACAGCCGCCACACGGCACAAATAACACGGATGTGATCATACAAATAGATAAATACAGAATCCCTAAAGAAAGCCCAACACGGCAAAATTGAAAATGTTGCAGGCTCGGTTTGATTGAGCCTGTTCATGGACGGTACTGGAAAGTGCAAGTTACCGTCCACGCCCCCTAGCACCGGCTTAAGCAGAATTCAACATTTAAACGTGAAATAGTTAAATTTTGAATTTAGAAACATCCGCAGATGTGTTCATACGGCGGTTATCATGGAACCTTCAATGTGACACTTCCGTGCCATTCCATGAAAAGCGGCGTATGGTCCCCAAGTAATAAAAAGCGTGTGCCCTAAACGAGAAAACAATGGGCGGAACTAAATAAAATGGAATTTTGAAAAGGGGATCAGAGGTTATGAAGCCTGCGTATCACAGATAAGACGTCAAAAGACAAATTTAAAAAGCAGGCAACATATCCTAAGGGTGATTCAACATTATTCAAGTAGGAATATTGGAACCACCCAACTAGAAAAATGCCAAAAAGTTGAACTAAAAATACCACAAGCACAACAATAATGTCGTGCTGAACGATCTCAAGGATCGAAAATATAACATCATTGATTAAATGTACGGGGAGACTTTTTACAGCCGCCACACGGCACAAATAACACGGATGTGATCGTAAAATAGATAAATACAGAATCCCTAAAGAAAAGCCCAACACGGCAAAATTGAAAATGTTGCAGGCTCGGTTTGATTGAGCCTGTTCATGGACGGTACTGGAAAGTGCAAGTTACCGTCCACGCCCCCTAGCACCGGCTTAAGCAGAATTCAACATTTAAACGTGAAGTAGTTAAATTTTTGAATTTAGAACATCCGCAGATGTGTTCATACGGCGGTTATCATGGAACCTTCAAACTTTTCCGTGCCATTCCATGAAAAGCGGCGTATGGTCCCCAAGTAATAAAAGCGTGTGCCCTAAACGAGAAAACAATGGACGGAACTAAATAAAATGGATTTTGAAAGGGGATCAGAGGTTATGAAGAACCACAGATAAGACGTCAAAAGACAAATTTAAAAAGAGGCAACATTCCTGTGCCATTCCATGAAAAGTAGGCGTATGGAACCACCCAAGAAAAAAAAGCGTGTGCCTAAAAATAAACAAGAAAACAATAATGTCGTGCTGAACGGAACTAAATCGAAAATATAATTTTAAAAGGGGATTTACAGCCGCCACACGGCACAGAGGTTGATGAAAATAGATAAATACAGAATCCCTAAAGAAAGCCCAACACGGCAAAATTGAAAATGTTGCAGGCTCGGTTTGATTGAGCCTATTCATGGACGGTACTGGAAAGTGCAAGTTACCGTCCACCGCCCCTAGCACCGGCTTAAGCAGAATTCAACATTTAAACGTGAAATAGTAAAATTTTGAATTTAGAAACATCCGCAGATGTGTTCATACGGCGGTTATCATGGAACCTTCAATGTGACACTTCCGTGCCATTCCATGAAAAGCGGCGTATGGTCCCAAGTAATAAAAAGCGTGTGCCCTAAACGAGAAAACAATGGGCGGAACTAAATAAAATGGAATTTTGAAAAGGGGATCAGAGGTTATGAAGCCTGCGTATCACAGATAAGACGTCAAAAGACAAATTTAAAAAGCAGGCAACATATCCTAAGGGTGATTCAACATTATTCAAGTAGGAATATTGGAACCACCCAACTAGAAAATGCCAAAAAGTTGTAACTAAAAATACCACAAGCACAACAATAATGTCGTGCTGAACGATCTTCAAGGATCGAAAATATAACATCATTGATTAAATGTACGGGGAGACTTTTTACAGCCGCCACACGGCACAAATAACACGGATGTGATCGTAAAATAGATAAATACAGAATCCCTAAAGAAAGCCCAACACGGCAAAATTGAAAATGTTGCAGGCTCGGTTTGATTGAGCCTGTTCATGGACGGTACTGGAAAGTGCAAGTTACCGTCCACGCCCCTAGCACCGGCTTAAGCAGAATTCAACATTTAAACGTGAAGTAGTTAAATTTTGAATTTAGAAACATCCGCAGATGTGTTCATACGGCGGTTATCATGGAACCTTCAATGTGACTCTTCCGTGCCATTCCATGAAAAGCGGCGTATGGTCCCCAAGTAATAAAAAGCGTGTGCCCTAAACGAGAAAAACAATGGACGGAACTAAATAAAATGGAATTTTGAAAGGGGATCAGAGGTTATGAAGTCTGCGTATCACAGATAAGACGTCAAAAGACAAATTTAAAAAAGCAGGCAACATATCCTAAGGGTGATTCAACATTATTCAAGTAGGAATATTGGAACCACCCAACTAGAAAATGCCAAAAAGTTGTAACTAAAAAATACCACAAGCACAACAATAATGTCGTGCTGAACGATCTTCAAGGATCGAAAATATAACATCATTGATTAAATGTACGGGGAGACTTTTTACAGCCGCCACACGGCACAAATAACACGGATGTGATCGTAAAATAGATAAATACAGAATCCCTAAAGAAAGCCCAACACGGCAAAATTGAAAATGTTGCAGGCTCGGTTTGATTGAGCCTGTTCATGGACGGTACTGGAAAGTGCAAGTTACCGTCCACGCCCCCTAGCACCGGCTTAAGCAGAATTCAACATTTAAACGTGAAATAGTTAAATTTTGAATTTAGAAACATCCGCAGATGTGTTCATACGGCGGTTATCATGGAACCTTCAATGTGACACTTCCGTGCCATTCCATGAAAAGCGGCGTATGGTCCCCAAGTAATAAAAAGCGTGTGCCCTAAACGAGAAAAACAATGGACGGAACTAAATAAAATGGAATTTTGAAAGGGGATCAGAGGTTATGAAAGTCTGCGTATCACAGATAAGACGTCAAAAGACAAATTTAAAAAGCAGGCAACATATCCTAAGGGTGATTCAACATTATTCAAGTAGGAATATTGGAACCACCCAACTAGAAAATGCCAAAAAGTTGTAACTAAAAATACCACAAGCACAACAATAATGTCGTGCTGAACGATCTTCAAGGATCGAAAATATAACATCATTAATTAAATGTACGGGGAGACTTTTTACAGCCGCCACACGGCACAAATAACACGGATGTGATCGTAAAATAGATAAATACAGAATCCCTAAAGAAAGCCCAACACGGCAAAATTGAAAATGTTGCAGGCTCGGTTTGATTGAGCCTGTTCATGGACGGTACTGGAAAGTGCAAGTTACCGTCCAGGCCCCCTAGCACCGGCTTAAGCAGAATTCAACATTTAAACGTGAAATAGTTAAATTTTGAATTTAGAAACATCCGCAGATTTGTTCATACGGCGGTTATCATGGAACCTTCAATGTGACACTTCCGTGCCATTCCATGAAAAGCGACGTGCCATTCCATGAAAAGCTGTTTCAAAATGAACAAATAACTGTTTTGTCTTAACCTTATTTTAGATTTTTGTATCGTGCAAGTAGCAATAATTGCTCAAACAGTAGTTGATATTGTTGTTTTATTGCTGTGTGTGTTTTGTTGTTGTTTTTTTCCATTAAGTCACACAATGGTGTTTTTATTCTTCATGTTCTGGACCCCAAACCTGCTTTGCCAGTTACGAGCAAGGCCAGACCGCATTAATTACTCCACCAAGCTGCCATATCAAGCTTCATTTTTATCATTTTATCACCTAGATTGATAACCAACAGTTTGAAAAAAATGTAAGCTTGACTGTACCATTAAAGAAATGCAAAATGCATGGAAAGGGTTAATTTTGAGTACATGTATTTACAAACATACCTCTCTGTGTTCCACTCATTGTTGCAGTGTGACCATGGTAAGGTGGAAGTAAAGGACATCACAAGGTAGTAGGCGGCCCAAGCCAGTATAATGATGTAATAAATATTCATCTGGAAAGTAACAGTAAACGAAGCCACGCCTATTCCTGGAATAATAATACTTCATAATTAACGTTTGGTTAAAGTTCTCTCTTCAGTGAATAAAATGTCGTTCCTTGTAGGTTTTTCTAGTTCAGCATTCAATATAATATAAACATTGTGTTGAATGTCGTTCCTTGAGGGTATTCTTGGTCGACATTCAATATTACACAAACACTGTGTTAAATTCGACATTCATTGTAATATGAACAGTGTGTTGAATGTCATTCCGCCAATATATTAAAGCTCGACATTAAACTTTACCTTTCTAGGTCCAAAAGTGATTATTCTTGACGTGTAGTTGAACAAGGCTCTATGCCAATGGCTCACTTTCCTCGATATCCTAAAACATGATCATGAATTGCTCCAAAAATGGAAGCCGGACAAACCATTTGAAAACATTCAGCAGGTTAAGTTTAAAGCTGAATGTCTCAGTGTCATGAGATTAACATAATTTTCTTGTTGTACCAGGTAAAGAATAATCAGTTTGATGCCTATTACAGAGCGAAAGTCTTGCTGATTACTGTACGAAACAAACATTTCTGACTGATAACGCACACTTCATTAAAAATGTTAATGTTAACAATGAGTTTTGAAATCTCGATCTTAAGAATTATTTACCTTTTAATTATTTTCTGCATATTTAACTAGGATTGTGATGAAATATTGATTTCACACAAAAAGAATTCACTTTGAACTCTATACAATAATTAAAATAAATACTAGTTTTTTTTCTTAATAAAAGTTTTAAAATGTTATCCTGTAGCTACTTGTGTATTACTATTTGATGTTATTGGTACGTACATGTATATATAAAGAGCAAGATACAAATAATACCAAAAATAGTTTTGCCAAAGACTAGAGGAGAAGACCCTGGACAAACTATTTTTGGTGTTGTTTGTACAAAATATAATGCACAATATAAATCGATTGTAAAATGATTATTGATTGCATAAAAGTATTTGTTTAGTTTTTGTATAAATAAAGAAGTAACGTCGAACAATTCAGTATAACACACAAACAACAAGAAACTTTGAAAACAGTGAACATCAACATTATATGCTAAGAAGAATCTACTTCAGTACTTTGCGTGACCTCCTCTAGCCCAAATTACAGTTTAAATATTTAGTGGCAACCGTCTAATTTACCTTTCTCATGATGACGCCTGCGTCTCAAAATAGGTTTCGTGTGGGCCTTTCTGGAATCAAGTCTTTGCATATTTATAAACATGTCACCTGTCCGTGAATGAGACTCCAAATTTGATAATAATATATCAAATTACAAATTTATATTAAATTGAGTTTAAATTAGAAAAAATAAAAGTTCACCTTTGAATGCTGGGACAAGTCTGGACCAAGATTCAACACTGCCTATGTTCATGTATTGTCCAAGAGCTAGCTCTAACATAAACAGAGGAACTCCACACGTGACCAGACAAATCATATATGGTATAAGAAACGCTCCTGAAAGGTCAAATTAAATTTTAAACATGATAGTTTGTTTAGTACCTTTTCCAGTGATTGTGTTACCAGACTTAAAAGCACTTGTCCACTGGAAATTAAAAAAAAATTCTAACACTCACGTGATTTTGTCACTATAGACAAAGAAGGAGAAAAACTGGTGTTAAACTGCCAATAAACACCGGTTAGGGACTACTTGTATATGCGCTGTTATGTTTTCACCCTCGATTGTATAGTTTACACAGCATTTTAAAGAAACAATAAAAAACATTTTTATTTATAATTTCAGTTCGTTTAATGTTTTCTTACCGAAATAATATCTCACATACACTAACGCCGCATATAAGATCCATATCAGTTAATAAATATTTTGACAAAACGGCGCAAATCCGTAAGCAGCGTAATGACGTCATCCTAAGTAAACAACTCATTCATAAACAAGCTGACGTTATTTCATACAGACAAGAATGATAAATGGGGCACTGATGTAAACACAATACGACGTAAGTTTTTATTGTTGAAAACTTGATAAAATAACGTTTTTTTCTTATTATTTCTTTTGTTTAATAATTTCTATATCTTCGCAACAGTAGGGTGCGAAAATCGAACAGCGTTATACGAAAATCGGCACCGGAAGTTATTTCCGCTTGAAAAATAACATTAGTGATTTTCCTTATTTCATCGTGTTAGAATCGAAATAACATCGGCCTGAGAGGTGTATATCGGCTATTTAACACCGGTATTGTCGTTTTGATGCGACAAAATTAACCACTCAGGCCTACGGCCTTCGTGGTCAATTCCTACGCATCAAAACTCCAAACCGGTGTTAAATAGCCGATATACACCTCTCAGGCCGATGTTATTTCTTAAACAACATCGCATTCACCATCTTCTTTGTGCTGATGGTCCTTTTTGGCATTACAAGACCGTTTTTGTTTTATCTTTTCGAAACCACTGTTTGGTCATTGTGTTTTCGCAATTTAACAGTGAATGGGGAGTGATGATCTTTGTAAGAAGGTTGTATAATAACCCGTAAATTTCTGAATGTTTGTGATGCACTTGCAGTAATACAAATGCATTTGCCGCTGTACTGGTGGCAAAGGCTTATCGCTTTTGGTCGCAGCAGGTTAAGCGAGATAAAACTACAATTATAGTATCTTTACAGCACAAAGTGTATCAAGTAATATACGAGTACATTAATTGTACCTGCTGCAGGTGGTCTATAGAATTATTGTTTGCAAATTGTTATACCCGTAAGAAAGAAATAAATTTGTATATTTCCTCACGGGTTAATGGTGCATGCACTTAATCATTGCTGAACGGAACAAACCTACTTAAAATAGCACAGAAAGTTTTTTTTTTCAGTTTACATTCAATATGCATGCAATCAATACACATTCTATGTTACAACTCTTTCAAAGATTTGACTTTACAATTATGAAAACAAGACATTCTGCAGTAAATAATCTTAATGAAATAGAATTGTATACACTTTATAACGAGCGTATAGGTTATATTTATTCGAATACAGGTTTTATTATGTTTTATTTTAACCTATCTCAGTAAAAATCATGTTTTTTTTTTAAACTGATGTCTCCTCACTGTCAAAAGAATGTATCATGTACGTTTTTTTATCACAAGCTAACTTTGCTGTAAATTTGTGTCAAAGTGGCATCGTTACTCCTTTAGGCGAGAAACTAAAAAAAAATTAGAACTTTAATTATTTGTAAAGCGCGAAGTAATCAACTGAATAGAGTATAAAGATATATAATGGCATGCGCGGTTATAAAACTTTTATGTATATAGATATCGATTAACATCATGATATTAGATACATAATTTATATATATATTTATAAATTTATGACGTATATACTTTTATAATTGAATACCTTTCAAATTTTATTGCAATGAGGCACCTACGCTTTTAATTGAATATTTATTGACGTGTTCACTTTAACACATGCAGGGTTTCGCTGCAATTCACCAATTCTGAAAAAGGCGAACAAATATTTTGAAGTGGCAAGAAAAGAAAAAGATCACAACTTTTTTTTTTTATTTATTTATTTATTTATTTTTAATTGGTTCTTGTTTTATATGTTTACCGTAATTGACTGCTGATTGATAAATCCAGATGAAAGTTGCGATAAGTGTTACTGCCCACCTCGATTACATATCAATTTGACATGTCGTATTTTGGGAGATTTACTGCTAAAATGATTTTTTTTTTTTTAGACTGCTTGATTACATCTCCAGTGAAAAACAATGTTAAAATAATTAAAAGGTTTTAACTCCAACACAACTTAAGGAAGAACAACCAAAATCATAAAATATTAGTGCAGAAAAAAAGTGAAAAATTACATGTGCCATGTTTGTCTTATAAATTTTAGGAAAAGTTATACGTTCTACTAAAAAAAAGCGTAACTTCTACGTTTAAAATTAATTTTAAGAATGGTACCCAAATTTCTTTACCTCCACCATTTTTGTAGCACAGATACGGGAATCTCCAAAAATTTTTCCAAGTCCAAACTGGCATCCGAAAAACAGCAAGAAAAAACCTTTTTAAAATTTCCATTGGTCTCTTTATAAATTTTTTCCCCTTTTATGTTCTGGAAACGTTTGAAAAGTCCAAATGGGGACCCTTTTCGTGCAGAAATCGTTTCTCTCAACTCTGTTAGATTTTAACTCTATTTCTGTGCTCATTATTATGTCTTATTGACTAACAAGCTGTCGTCTGTGGCGTTTTGAGTTTAGATAAGGTCGTTTTCAGATGCTTGTTTAAACAAATCCAATTTGACGCAATATTTTTCACTAATAAAAACCTAACTAGCTGTCATAGATAGACTACAATGCATTCCATTTAAAACATGCACGGGTAAAACATAGTGTAGTGAATTAAAGAAAACTTTTTGATCTATCAAACTTTGTTAACTATGATCAAAAAAGCAAAAAAACTATAAAAGCCACCATAAATCATCAGATTCGTTACGTTTAGTACATACCTAGCTAATAAATTAAATAATTTACAGTAGTGTATTTAAAGTCAGTTGATGTGTTCTAAATAGTTAATGAATTGAAAAATAAGTGACTCAGAAAAAAAGAAAGATAAAGATGATTTTTAATTTAAACACTGTGCCATACAGATATAAGATAAATATTTTCGTGTAAGCAATGTTAAAAAAACAAGCCATAATTATTAACGCAACATTTGATTGACTTGAGTGAATTGGAACCAAATTATTCTATCTGCACAATGTTCCTAAAGAGGACATTCCGTTGATTCTAATACCAGCTGCATGGTGTTCTTAAAGAGGACATCCCGTTGATTCTAATTCCGGCTGCATGATGTTCCTAAAGAGGACATCCCGTTTATTCTAATACCAGCTACATGGTGTTCATAAAAAGGACATCCCGTTGATTCTAATACCAGCTGCATGCTGTTCCTAAAGAGGACATCCCGTTGATTCTAATACCAGATGCATGGTGTTCCTTAACAGGACAACCTGTTGATTCTAATAAAAGCTGCATGGTGTTCCTTAAAATGACATCCCGTTGATTCTAATACCAGCTGCATGATGTTCCTAAAGAGGGCATCCCGTTGATCCTAATACCAGCTACATGGTGTTCATAAAAAGGACATCCCGTTGATTCTAATACCAGCTGCATGATGTTCCTAAAGAGGACATCCCGTTGATTCTAATACCAGCTGCATGGTGTTCCTTAAAAGGACATCCCGTTGATTCTAATACCAGCTGCATGGTGTTCCTAAAGAGGACATCCCGTTGATTCTAATACCAGCTGCATGGTGTTCCTAAAGAGGACATTCCGTTGATTCTAATACCAGCTGCATGGTGTTCCTTAAAAGGACATCCCGTTGATTCTAATACCAGCCGCATGGTGTTCCTTAAAAGGACATCCCGTTGATTCTAATACCGGCTGTATGGTGTTCCTAAAGAGCATTCCGTTGATTCTAATACCAGCTGCATGGTGTTCCTTAAAAGGACATCCCGTTGATTCTAATACAAGCTGCATGGTGTTCATAAAAAGGACATCCCGTTGATTCTAATACCAGCTGCATGCTGTTCCTAAAGAGGACATCCCGTTGATTCTAATACCAGATGCATGGTGTTCCTTAACAGGACAACCTGTTGATTCTAATAAAAGCTGCATGGTGTTCCTTAAAATGACATCCCGTTGATTCTAATACCAGCTGCATGATGTTCCTAAAGAGAGGCATCCCGTTGATCCTAATACCAGCTAACATGGTGTTCATAAAAAAGGACATCCCGTTGATTCTAATACCAGCTGCATGATGTTCCTAAAGAGGACATCCGTTTGATTCTAATACCAGCTGCATGGTGTTCCTTTAAAAGGACATCCTGTTGATTCTAATACCTGCTGTATGGTGTTCCTAAAGAGGACATCCCGTTGATTCTAATATCAGCTGCATGGTGTTCCTAAAGAGGATATTCCTTTGATTCTAATACCAGCTGCATGGTGTTCCTTAAAAGGACATCCCGTTGATTCTAATACCAGCCGCATGGTGTTCCTTAAAAGGACATCCCGTTGATTCTAATACCGGCTGTATGGTGTTCCTAAAGAGCATTCCGTTGATTCTAATACCAGCTGCATGGTGTTCCTTAAAAGGACATCCCGTTGATTCTAATACCGACTGTATGGTGTTCCTAAAGAGGACATTCCGTTGATTCTAATACCAGCTGCATGATGTTCCTTAACAGGACATCCTGTTGATTCTAATACAAGCTGCATGGTGTTCCTAAAGAGGACATCCCGTTGATTCTAATACCAGCTGCATGATGTTCCTAAAGAGGACATCCCGTTGATTCTAATACCAGCTGCATGATGTTCCTAAAGAGGACATCCCGTTGATTCTAATATCTGCTGTATGGTGTTCCTAAAGAGGACATCTCGTTGATTCTAATACCTGCTGTATGGTGTTCCTAAAGAGGACATCCCCTTGATTCTAATATCAGCTGCATGGTGTTCCTTAAGAGGATATTCCGTTGATTCTAATA